AAAGTTTATGTTACCTCAAAGAGAAACCGCCATCTACAGAACTGTTACAAACTGTTAAAAGGCCACCAACGCACAATTTATATCAGCATAGGAGAGAAATATATCGCTCCTGGATCATGGAGAGCATTGCATAACGGCCCAGGGAGGCACCGTCCTGCCCCAGATCAGGTTGTTTTTGTTTGTGTGTACGTGCAGGTTGCCAGACTCTCTTTGTTGCCATGACAAGTGCCATTAGACACACCAGTGTTTCTCTCTTTAGACTGTAGTTCATACATTCCCCCAGCCTTGATAAAATCTCACATCTATGTGTGCGTGTGTATGTTTAGGTCAGGCTTGATGGGAGCTGTAGTCGCCGTTCTTCTGTCTATCACTGCAGCATCATCACCTCATTGGATCCAAATCTGTCAGATCTGACTGTTTGATATTTTTGAGATGAATTGTTTAATTGCATATCAGGTGGTCAAAAGTGAAACCATCTGTCACATCTGAGTCCGGGAATCCTCATATCTTGAATCACAGGTGACATGCACAGTGGCATTATACATGAGCAGTGTCACGTAGGGATCGAAGGATGCACTATTATGTAAGATTAAAATTCAGCTGAGGTATGCTGACCTTAAAGTCTACACCCACTGTAGAGATGGCTCTCGGTTGACAGCCTACATCTGCTCAGCAAGTTTTCATATCTGACCTGTTCTCTGGGAGTTTTTGTGCTCAGTTTTGGATCTCAGTTTTTGCTTTTTCACTCATTTTTTGATGACAATTTTCTAGATAATAAATATGAATTATTACACATACAAAAACTTGTTAAATCATTTTTCTGTAGTTTTTGAATTAAGTGAGAAAGCATCACTTTTTTCGTTTTGATCCCACCACAGGGTAAATTAGTATTCAAGTGGTAAGTCCACATTGCATTACAGTACATTCATGCAAAGTTAAAGCTCCTGGAAAAAGTGTTTTAACTTTTATAAAATGGACTAAAACTCATAGTGATACCTTTTTTATGATATCTAAAAACAAACAAGACCATCAGTGACCAAACTACGTATTTGAATCAGTTTATTTTTAATGTCTGAAACCAGTGTGAGGAGATGTATCTGAAGAAACAGCCCTGATGTTACAATTTTCACCTAAAATATTCGCAATAAATGAAACATTCCACCGTAAAAAGTCATCAAGATGAGATTTTACTCGCCAAAAACACAACTTTAGCATTTAGTGGACAAGTAAAGCCCACTAAGCTACTGGACCCCAGCTATCTCTGAAAGGGAGAGTGGAGGAAGTTTCTGTCCTGCAATCCACGCTTGAGCTGCTGAGTCCTCATTACACTGATTACCACAAAAGAACTTGCAGCAAAGATGCTGCAAAGGATGAAAAGTTGTGACACGTTTAAAGGTGAGTCAGCTGTGAAGGCCGAGCGTTTCAGCAGAAGTATTCATTTTGATGACATTAATAAGGAATTAGCAAGTTAATGTTGTAACTTCAGCTAAATTAAATTGTCCAATCAGTGCTAGGGTCCGGAAGTGATTTATGCAACAAGGACGGCATCATTTACAATAGACACAAGTAATTAAACAGTTTCAAGGGACGAGGTGAAGGTGCTTTTTGTTATTTTTATAAATAACTTAGCTTAGAGCTCAGTTTTGAGATAGCAATTGTGAGTTTTCTTAGTTTTGGTAACAAAAGAGGACATTAGCTAAGGTGACATATTCTAAATTCCCCAAAAAAAGATAGACTACACAGGGGCGGAGTCAAAGAGTCTCAAAAAGTTAATTTTGAGAGTTTTTTGGGTCAGATCGAGTGTTTGTTATGCGCTCCTAATTCAGTAAGTCCATGTGACACAAAATCGAATCTCTCGTACAAAACCAAAGACATTTGAAGGATATTATAAACTTTCCTGGACAAAGCCGAACAAGTCCAGACAGCCCCCCAAAAAGAGGACATGTCCAGATAAAAGAGGTGTATGGTCACCCTACACTAGCAAACTAACTAAACAACCAGGGTCACATGAAAAACCAAGGTCACTGACAAATTCCCAAGAAGAAAATTTGGTTAACATGGAAAGTTGGTTTTCTCTGATTGGGGTTTTAAGTTCTCCTAAGTCAGCTATCTCACAGACAACCTGGATGTGTTTAACTCACTTCATGATTTACCCCTCAGGTCACGCTAGTAAACTGGTGTTTCTGTTCATTTTACATAACCTGACACTAATTACAAAGCAGGATCAGCTGAAATCCTCTGAATCCCACCTGTGTGTTACACCTGTCCCATCCAGGCCACATTAACCCACTGAAGAAGAGTCAGAGGAACATGAAGAAGTCTTTTAACTCTCTACAGATCAAATACTCTCAGGTGTTTTCCTCCAACTGGAGTGACACCCTTAAAAAAGCAGCTTCTGCAGGGGTTCAGGCTCAGCTGAGGGATAGCATGTGACTGTACACAACGGCCACCCACGCAGATAAAAGAGGAACAAACACAGCGGGCCTCTCCAGTCCTTCACACGACTCCTCTGCTCCTCTTCTCTCTGAAGAGTCACACGCAGACTGTCCTTTTTTCTGTCTCACTTCACTAGGGAAATTCCACCTTTACACACGTAGGTTCACTCTCCACACGTTCACAGTTTATGTTTTTCTTCTCTCTTAAGATTCAGTGTCATAAAAGAAGGTTTAGAGTTCATTTGCTGCACGTCTGTCATTATCAGGAATATTCCTCCTTTGCATGTGAGCAGCTGCTGTGTGTTCTGGCAGCAGTGGGCTCCAACTCGCACACCATTTCTTGATTTATAGTTTATCTTTTGTAGTTTTTTTTTTTTTTTTTGGTTAGGGGTATTTCAAATAATTAGGTGAGGCTTCTCCTGAAGACACAGACACCTGAAGCTGCAGGTAATGTGAGGGAGGATTGTTGTGATTCCTGCGGGTGCAACAGGCTTGCACACTGTTGCGTGTGAACCTCTGGCTTGCTGCCAGCTGGCAGAACAAGTTAAAAGACAGGTTGCATAAGAATTGTGGTATGTTTTGGTTTTCAAAGACTGCGTGTCACGAAATCGGTGTTTAAATTGGTAATATGCATGGTCAAGAGTCACGTAGGGTGTTTATTTGACAGGTGATGACACTGATGGTTTCCTGGATTTGATTTTTAAAAATAGTTCTGCAGTGTAACACAAGCGTAGGCCACAGTACAGATGGAAAAACCCGTCCACAGTGGAACATTATGCGTGTGTGGAGTCCAAGCGGGAACATCTGGTGTTGAAAAATGAAGCCGATGCAGGAGTGCAAGCATACTGCAGTTCCACAGGTGTCTACTGCAGAGGCTGGATCCAAAAAAACGCAGGAACCATGTTAAAACTGGTCTTAAAATGTTCATTTTGAATATAGAAATAAAACATGTACAGCTTTGTTTTTGTCTGAGAAGCCCATGTCTTTATTTGTGCTCTGTCACACCAGGTAAACGTTTTTTTTTTCTTGCATAACTCATCTGTTTTTTAGATAATAAGACTAAAAGGCATAATTAGGCATAATGAGAGGTGCGGCTGGTTTGTGGCTACCGTAGTCATGCCATGGGGTACAGCTATCAAGGCTATATCTGGGGATTCTCACAACTTCCACAAACAAAGTCTAGCAGTTCGATAAATGTTCTTTCTTCTACAGAAGGTTTCAAGCTTTAAATCACAAGATATTTTTTTTAAAAAGGAGCAAAAAGTAGAGGTGGACTCGGTGTCTCAAGATGGCAAGAAATAGCAGATGCACTTGAGTAGCTGCCATAAGAATTTCTATGTCCTCCTTTTAATGCCATCATTTAGGATGTGGGGATTGTTTGAATACTGCTTTGTAGTATGTCGTGTCAGGAGGTAAAATCAAGTTTAATGACTATTATCACCTTATCTGACAAAATGACTGAAGTAACAGAAAAAAAGGTTGACTTTACCCTAAAGCCTAACTTTTTTTGTAGGTTCTGCAAAAGTTCTGCCAGGTCAGTATTTCCAATAGCCTATTGTGTGGGTCTGAAACACCTCTTCAGGAACCAATGAGAGACATCACTGAGACCATACTTTTGGCAGAGTCTGATGTTGTCTGAAAAAAAGAAAAAATGATGAGGAGAAAATAAAATAATTTGATTTTTTTTTTTTTCAATTTATTTTTATTTATTATTTTTTAAGTTAATAAAATGATCAGGAATAGTTCAGGTTTTTGTGAGTGAGGTTATATGAGGTTGTGGTCACCTGATCAGCCATGGCCCCTGAGTTTCACTTCAATGTTTCTGAGGTGAGGAAAGGTTGGTCAAGAGTCATTTTCTATTCCTGATTGAGTACAGATTATTTTCAATGCACCGAATGGTATTAAATGATAAAATATGGCTAACTGGTACCTAGTTTTATCTGTTTCCATAGCCCTCAGGCCCTCCTTTCCCAAATGACAGCAGAAAAACCCGTCTGAAAGAACAAAAAAAAATTATTTTTCATATTTCAACTTCAAGGGCCTGTTGACATAAAAGGATGTTTGGGGGGTAGGCCTAATAATACAGAAAGATAAAGAATAAATACATTGATATAAGTATGATGCATGTAAATGAATAGACAGTGGTGTAGTTTAAAGAACATGAATATTTTAACTTTATTTTTATTCATAGTGGCTTGAAATCAAAACTGCTCAGTTTAGATTTAGATTTTTTAGATTGATGACTGATTAATTATTTTTTTTCATTCATAAATTTTCAAAATATTTTTAAAACAGTAGTACTCACTTATTCTTCTTTTGTATCAATGACTTTATGTCTCTCTTATTTCGTGAAAGTTCAAGTAGATTATGTATAAACTGTCATGATGTGACCAAAGTTGTACTATTACTGTCAATCAATTATGGCCCAGTAACAAACTTCACAAGCGGCTTCAACGTCAAGTCTGTATTCTGGGTCTTTGGCGCCCTTTAGTGGAAGAAACTTGCTATTACAATTCATTGATCAGAGCTTCAACTCCCATCATGCAGTTCACCCGGCTACAGCCTACTTCCGCGATGACACGACCACGGTGATTGTGAATGGTAACTCTGCATGATCAGTGATGGACGGTCCAGGTGTCAAAGCGATCATTTTTGACCTGGACAACACGCTCATAGACACGAGTGGGGCCGGAGCTGAGGCGCTGCGACAGGTGAGACCCACGGAGGCTTTAACTCTTCAGGTGGACTTTAAAGTGGACTTTAATGGACTCTTAGGGAGGTGGTGGGGACTGTCCTGGACAGGCCTTAACACCTGTCAGTGACTGTAAAGACCGGTTTACAAAAACTATTTCACTCCTGTTCTCTGAACACAGATCTTAAATCTGATTTTATTCATAGAGCTGAATCTCTGCCCCACTCACCTGAGTAACTTTAGTCCTCTGTGGTTACTTCCACTTGTGGCCTCCACTTCTGTGTTGCCAGACGAGGTGATTTAAATGTAATAGAAAAGTCCAAACTTACGGTGGCCGAGAACCGCCACTACTGCAAATAAAATAAGAGTGCAAAAAAAAAAAAAAAGAGAGAAAATCACAACTGAAGTTACTGATGAAAAAAAGAAAGAAAGTGAAGCCTGCTACAAATAAAAAAGAAACGGTGCAGATAAAGAAAAAACCAAAACGGAAGTTACTGATGGAAAAAAAAAAAAAAAGTGGCGATTGGAAAAAAAAAAAATACTGTAAAAAAAAAGGAATTGAGTTGGTGGGAACCAATAATGATAATGCACTGGTGTTTTACGATCTAGGCACAGAAGAGGAAGGCGAAAAGACGAGTAAAGAAGTTATTGGAAAGGTTATTGTTTAATTTTGCTTCGTGTATTTTTCAATGTGTCATTTGGTCAGGCCATGTTGCGCCTGAGTGGATATGAAGTTGAACTGAAGCTAACACTACACCTTCATATCGACCCAGGTGCTACATGGCCTAACCAGATGACACACTGAAAAGTTTACAATGCGAAATCAAACAATAACCTTTCCACTTACTTCTTTGCTCGTCTTCTTGCCGTCCTCTTCTGTGCCTAGATCGTAAAACACCAGTGCATTATCATTATTGGTCCCTGGCAGCTCACTTCAGTTGTGGCTTTTTTAATTTGCATCCTTTTATTTTCGCAGTAAGTAACTTTTTTTTTTTTTTTTTTTTTTTTTTTTTTGCATCACCACTTTTTTTTTGCGTCATCAACTTTTGTTGTAGGGTTTTTTTGTTGTTGTTTTTTTTTATCTGCATTGTTAATTTTTTTTATTTGCAGCGGACTTCAGTTGTGGCGGTTCTTGACCACCGTACAAACTGGCCCGCCTACAGTGTCAACTTGTTACCTTTTTAAAACATTAAGTGCATCATGGAACAAAAAGTTCAACTAATAAGACTCCGGTCAGTCGAGAAACTAAGATACAAATGCAAATTTTCAGTTTCAATATTTAATATGTTGTCTTAGCTCTATTTCCAATTATGATTTGAAACTCATCAAGTTCTTTCTAAACTTTCTAAACTTTCTACAAAGCACTGCTTCATGACACTTTCTCAAATGTGATAACTTTTGTTTGTACATTTGAAGCTAAGATGCAATGTTCACTTCTCATATCAAGTTTTTGGCATGTAGGCCTATGCAGGAGATTTGCTGGTCTTATAAACCGCAATGCTATAACACAGGCCCTTGAATCAAATAAGCTGCTCCTCAAAGTCTCACAGCCTGTAGATGTGGATGTTAAGGTTGTGCTTCTGTTATTCTGGGCCCTATACTTGTTGTAAGGTTGACCTCTAGTGGTGTATTGCTGAACTACAGGTTGTGATTTTTTAATGGGTACTCTGTTTGACTTTTCCAGACGAGTGAGTTTTTGAAGAGCGCGCTGGCCCTCGATGACGCAACAGTCGGCATCATTTGTGATAAATTCAAACAGAAGCTGTACCAGGAGATCTTCGAATGTTCAGGCAGCAGATCCATCGATGAGGTCCGAGTGGGTCACTGGGAGGAGAGCATCCAGGAGGCTGTGGGCAGCTGTTCCTCCCCCTCTCTGCCAGCTGACTGTTACTACCTGTGGAAAAACAGCCGCCTGCAGACTCTGCGTCTGACCCCTGAAACCTGCGACCTCCTCAGACAGCTGCGGCTAAAGTACAAGCTGCTGCTGCTGACCAACGGGGAAACGCAGACCCAGAGAGAGAAGGTGGAGGCGGTCGGTTGTGAGGATTTCTTCGATGCCATTGTGGTTGGTGGGGATCACGCAGAGCAGAAACCATACATCTCCATCTTTACTCTGTGTTTCGATATGCTGGGAGTGGAGGCCAAAGACTGCATTATGGTGGGAGACTCTCTGGACACAGACATTCAGGGAGGAGTTAATGCCGGAGTCAGGGCTACAGTCTGGATCAGCAGATCTGGAGCTGCACCAGAGGGTTCAGTGAAACCAGACTACATCATCCCCACAGTACTGGACCTGCCAGGTATCCTGGATCAACTGAAGTGAAGGGGGAAGTCTGTTGCTTTGAGTGGGATTATTTAATGAAGAATATTTGAAAGATTAACATCATATTTAACTCTAATAAGGGTGCTTTTTTACATGTTTACGGATCCTGTACTGACTGTATGATTTTGGGAACACTGGAGTTTTACTTGAGTATTTGTGTCTCTGGTATCTTAAAACTGAACTGACCATGGTGACTGTATTCTTGTAACAATATGGCTTTATCACTACTTAAAATTCATAACATTAGGACTGTTATCTTGTACCTTTACAACTTGGTTTTCTTATGACTTTTACTTCCAGTAAAATGATGACTTTGCTTTATTCTCTTATAAAATTAAGGTTAATGCAACTCCAATCTTGGAAGAACATGAATTTACTACGGCTTTATTTTTGTATGATACAATTTTGATAATGATGTGTCCCGGATTTTTTCCCATAATGCACACTCAATGTTTCAAATTTGTCTGTTTTACTTCTGTATCTCCAAGAGGACAAAATTCCAAAGCAGTTTTGGAGTGGCGTGTTGGTACTAACACCAAATGATAGAATCTAATATTTTAAAAACTATTTTTAATTTAATTGAGTGAAGGATTTTACAAGAAGATTTTTACTCACCTTGATAATTATACTGTAAATCAATTGTATTTTGATTTAATATGCAGAACTATAAAGTACTTGTCCAAACAAAATGAACGTGCTTTTTAGGAAGACCAGGTCATACTTAATTTATCTCTTTGATTGAACATGCAACACACTCAAAGACTAAATACACGTTTTATATCTTTTAATCGTTTATGGACATGCAGAGATTGCAGAGTAAGGGGCTGCACATGGACAGGTATCCCCAGATGGTATTCTTAATGGAACCTTAGCTGTGCTGAAAAAGTGCACTGTTGTCTCTCCAGTGACCAGTCCATACTTTGGTCCTCAGTGGGACTTGAACCCATGACTCAGTTTTGCAAGTGAAATCCCTCCAGACTGAGTCACTGCTCTGTGTTGCAATTAAAGGCTTTCTTGAAGTTTTCTACATTTTTTTTCTGTTAAAAAATTGCTTTTGTAATCTCAAAGAAGTCTAAAGTACTTTTTTTTTTTAACTACTGGACAGCACATCATCCATCTAATACTAACATATATGATGCTAGTATCAGTTAAGGTGCTGCAAATGTACCTCCAGCTTTGTACCAGCTCAAATAAGAGCAAATAGACCAAACTTCCTTACACTGTTTTTAAATGCTTGTACACAGAATAAACCAGATGATTGGGTGACTCAGCTACTTGTTCATAGATTGTGCAATTTCATTCTGATATATGTTTCACCACTTCTTAAATCAAGTATCACAAGCAACGCAACACTTACCCAGAGTTACAGAAGTCCCACACTAACAGAAATCTAATCCCTCATCTCAACAGTACTTTCTCTGTCTGTGTCACTTCAGGCTCAGTTAAATTACAAATCTTAAGGCTTCAAAACTGACCATGAAGCCCATCAATATGTTGAAAATACCGAGCATTTGAATAACCCAGAAAGTCAAGCTAAGGCAGACTTGTCATTATTATTAGTGGTAATTCTGTCATAGTGCAGGAACTGGACCATAAAACCTGGGCAGTATTGGTTTATACATGCATTTCAAACTGTGGAGATCTGATACAGTACCACAGTTCAAGTCTGAGGAAAATGTAGAGGATCAGAGAGGCTAAATTATGACCCAGGAGGCAGTTCATATCCACTTTCCAAGAAATGGAGCCCAGTCCTACAGAAAACCACCTCAGGGACTGTTAGCACTACTATTGTATTAAACTGTGTTCCTGTGTACTCACTTCTGAGTAAACAGTGAAGAGGACAGATAACATAAAGACTGTTGCGCTAGCTGTTACTTTGTTTTTATAGTTTATGAACACCATTTATTTATCATTAATGATGATGATCTAGCAGTCTAAGCACCACCCAAACAGCATCTATAGTTTTGTGGCAGTGGTTGCTGGTTTGACACCCAACCACGACCCTTTGCTGCATGTCCTCCTTTAACCTCTGCTCCTAACATTTCTGGTCACACTTCAGCTGTTCTGTCTATTAAAGGGGGGGGACTAAAAAAAGTAACTTTATAAACAAATACAGATTATTTACTTTTATTATGGCGATAATAATGATGATGGTATAAGGATAATCTTTGTTACTGTCATAATTATCATTACCTTATTAGATTAAATAAAGTTCTTATTGACATAATTATTGTTGTCATTATTATTATTAGTAGTAATTCTGTCATATGGTTTAATTGTGTTGATTTGTTTGGCTGTAAAACATAAATAACATTTAGGGGGAAAATTCTCCTTGCAAACAGCCTCAGTGCAGTCCTTTAACAGTTAATCAGCTGTGCCCCTGGATGGATAACTCTTAGCCTTTATATTGCCTTATAGCTGTGATATGAAAGAAGTAAACCCCAATAAAGTGTTAATTCTCTCTTAATATACAGATTAGTGTAATATACATTCGTGTTGGCTACTCTGGATATAATGAAAGTGTTTCTTTTTACATAGTCACACACTGAATACACTTTCCCTCTCTTTCTCCAGTGAGCAGTCATTTTCACTTCTCCTGTTTTCTGGCATTCCCCTCCCTCAGCCCTCCTATAATCATCTAACACATGATGCCTTCAGGTGCTGTGACTAAACCCCGGTCCTCGTTATAAATGTCATGGTTTTTTTTATTTTTATTCAAAGATTTCATTAAATCCTGTGACCCCCATGATCTTTCCATCATCTCTGGGTCACTGCCGTATTTAAAATCATAGAAGTAAAATGAGGACAGAAAACGAAGCTATTTATAGCTCATCATCACGGCTCAAGCATCAGGCTACATTTTCATCACATCTATTTTTAACAGCGCATTGTTTTTTCCTGCAACGCTTTGAAAGGATGGAAAATAGTTCCCTCTTCAGGCAGCAGGTGGCGTCCTCAGAGAGCAAACTGTGACATCCATTGTGTTTCTGTTTCTCTGTTTCCAGCTGCTGTAATGGCCAAAAGGCCTGCAGACCCCTAAAACAACAAACGTCCTCTCCAAACTCCCAACACAAAGACGAGTTGGACAAAGAGGTGGCAACTGTGGCTCAAAGTCAATGATGTGAGCTTCCATTCGATCAGAAACAAACAAGTCTGAAGCTGTGAGGAGGTAAATGTCCATCGCTGGTACACATACAATGTTAATAAGGATCAGGACACTGGAATTTGTTGAGCTGTCGGTCCTGCTGTCCCAGTTTTTGCAGCTGCCTCATGCTGGATTGTTTTTGTTCGGGACAATATGAGTGTGTATCTGCGTGTTTTTGTGGGTATGGTTGCTGTTGCAGCCTGCAGGGCAGTTTAAGAGTTCCTCTGAAAGCAGACAGAGTTTGGAAAACCTGATCATACACATCAAATTAATCACATACTGCTGCAGACGGATAACACTTTTTTGTGTCAAAGGTGTTCTAGTTTCCTTTCAAACTTGAGTGAAAACAAAAAAGTCTGTTTTGAAGCCTACAAGAGGCAAGACAAACAAAATCCTGGATCTGTTGACCCTGTTTTATCTTGTTTTATCGCCTGGCTTTCTTACTTTTCACCCAGCTGTGTCGTATACTTGATCTTGTTTGTTTGAAGCTCTTTGAAAACCAATCCTTTGACCCCAAAGTGGATCATACAGTTAAATAACCGTTAAAAGTAGTAACTGCGTGTCTAGTGTGCTGTTAATGGTTCCCCTCATTGAGTCCTTGTTAAGTGGTGCTTGCTGCTAAAAATCAATACTTAACTTCCAATTGTTTCTTCAGTTAACAGCTGGGTAATAACTGGAATGATATATAATTAGCTGTTGGATATGTGAAATACAATCCTTTCAGGGATAGACAAGACCCTGTTCAGATTTTATTTAATATCATCACTACTTAAGTAAACTCTGTTCCTTATCAAAAAATAATTCAATAATTTGATTCAAAAAGTTACAATGTGCTTAACTTTAAAAAGAGTTAAGATGAAACTGGAAAATAAAGCGGTTAAGAGCTCCTATTTATGAGAAGCAATAAAACAATAAACAAGGTTAATAACAATTCAAACAAATCACTAATAACAACAGATAACAAAATAAATCAGAACTTCAATTGTTATTACTTTGTCACGATGTGTTCTGTTTATTAAGTTTTTCCCTGTGATTTGTGTGTATTTTCCCTCGTGTTTCTGTGCCAGTTTGTTCCTGTTCCCCTGTAGTCTTGTCTTGTGAGTTTTCAGTTTGTGTCTGACCCTGTTTCCCTCTTGTTCTCAGTGTTTTATTTTGAAGTTGGTTATTCCCTGTGTTTCTAGTCTTGCTCTACAACCTCAGTTTTCCCTCCTTAGTAATTTGTCTGCACCTGTGTCTCTGTGTCTCACCTGCCTCTCGTTGCTCGTTTCCCAGTGTGTGCATATATTGTCCTTGTCTTACTCTGTTTCGTTGTCAGTTCATTGTATGCCGATGCCTCTGTGTGACTCCTGTGTCTCCATGGGGTTTTTCCCCCCAGTGTCTTTGTGGATTTTGGATTTTTGGTTCAGTTGGATTTTGCCTCTTGTGTTTTGTGTTTAGTTCATTTTGAATAAATCATTTTGGTTCTGCACTTGGGTCCTTCCCTGTTTTGTTTCACCCTGAAACGTGACAAACTTAAAAGCTATAGACAAACATAAAACAACGCCAATGATCAAGAGTGAGCCAAACAACAGAAGTGAGTTTTAAGAGGAGAACTCAAGTACTAAACACTTGATTCTGATTGGCTAATACTCCAAAAACTGGCAACGTTTTTTTATTTGTCAATAAGGGTTGCCAGGGATAATCAGATCACATGTCAAATTTATGACAGGGGCATGGCTCTTCTGCTGACCTGCGCTTAATCACATTTTAATCAATTTATCCACAGAAAGGAGTCTGGCACATTTTTCCACTGCCTGTTGACACTATGGCTGTCAAAGTGTTTCTCTACACTGGCATTCTCAAAGTTCAAATTTTACCCTTAGTTTATTTAGAGTGCACCAACTTTTTACCTTTTGTTGACCAGTTACCAGACAAGAAAAGAAAAGGAAGAATACAGTCAGCAACAACAAACCAAGTTGAAAGATACAATGAGCTGAATTTAAGAGACATGAACCAAATTGAATAAAATAGAGACAAACACAAAATCTGAACACAGAGTGGGCTTTGCTTTCTCCAACTTTATCATAAATTCAAATGTTCAGTTTAATGTGATTTTACTGTTAACTAAACCTGTTGAGATTATTACTAAACTGACCTGGAAGTGGGCTGATGAAAAATATATATATCATCACCATAGGAGTTTTACCAGCCATGTAGGTTTGCATGATGCTGGTAAGATCTGGTGGAGGACGAGAGGTCACTTTGAAGTCTTAATGTTCCCCTAACTGAAGTAATACAAAGATGCACACCCCTCAGCATTTCCCATTTAATAACTGACTGCTCCCTTTCTTTTTTTTTGGATGACATCCAGAAAACTGGAAGGACCTCAGTAAAGAAAAGTCCTCTACGACAGGAGTGTAAACTGATAAAGAGGAAGGGGTGAGATGTCTTCATGAGGCCACCACTTCCACCGTTCCCTCTGGTCTGTCCTGTTGCATCATTTTTAGCTCGACTCAGGTAAGTGTGTATGTATCTCCATCAACAGCACCCTCTGACAGTCAGCTGGCTGTTTGTGCAGCTGCAGTCAGACCTCTAAAAAACAAGGAGAGCACAAACAGACCTCAGGAAATGTACCAAGACCCATCTGTCTGTTTGGGTGCTAGACAAGTTTAAGATTCTCAGAGATGAACATGCAGGATACTGGACTATAGTTAATATTATTATTTATCTGTAGATATGAACTCTTCAGATTTAATTATCTCCACCTCAGTACGACTGCAGCACATGTTCCAGGTAGAGATAAGCTTAAAATGCTCAGTCAAATATCTAGAGTTTTTGAATTTGTATTATGAACTCTGTTTTTATGAATGCTGTAGTCTAAACAATCAACAGGTTCAAAAGTTTTACATATTCAGTTGTAGACCACATCAGCTGGCAGCTGCAAAACTGGCTTTAACAGCTTCAAAACAATCCCCAAGGGCAAATGTGCCTGAACAAAGCATGTCCACCAAAAGTTCCAGTTTTTGTACATGGAGGTCTCACATTGTTTTAAAACCCGTCTGACAACAACACAGACTTTCCTGAGGGACTTTCAGTTTAAAGCTCCAATAAGTAATTTTTAACCTAGTTTTAAAACTGACTGAAATTAATACTTCTGTATTTGTATGATCTACAAAGCAAATCAAGACCATCAGAACAGAGATGAACTATTTTTGTTTGGTTATTTCTGATGTCTGAAACCATGGTTGGGGTTAGTGCTTCTTTTTAAGTGAGGTTGTGTAAGGCTCTTGTCAATAGTTGGTATTTTATCCAACAGGGATGCCAGTCGGCTCAGCCTCTTTGTTGAAAAACCATACAGAAAGCCGCCACAACAGCTAGGCTCGCAGCTGCTGCAGACAAGGTCATCACTGCTGTGTTATTTAGCTGATTTTAAGAAAGTTACACCAAAACACCAGTTAAAGTATTGACGTAGAATTTGTTTGTGCTTTACTTTGCTGGCAGAGCTGATTTTGTCTTTTGTAGGTGTAAGTCTAGCTCAAAAGGTGCCAAGTTGACAAGCACTCTCTGTGAGTAAAACTAACTATTGACGAGTATCTCATACAACTCTACCTCAAAAATATTGAAATATGTCTTTAAGATCAAATGTTGTGTATGTGCAAAAACAAAAAACAAAACAATAAACACACTGACTGCATTAATAATAGACCAGCAACTCCTGTGTTCACCAGGGTAAAATCACTGGTTTTGTGGTTTTGTCAACAGTGTGGTTGCTTAAATGAGACTGATGTAAGAGCTGTGTCTAGTTTCTGTTACTCTCTAACAAAATGGTCTCTGTTTGCAGAGGTACTTTCATACACTTGAAAAACTTTGAAGTCTGTCTTGAGTGACATCAGGCCCCTGGAATACTTTTGTTTGATTTGTGTTTTTTGACCACTGGGTGGCAGTATACCACCTCACGGTAGTTCATGCACTGTCCATGATCAACTTTGCCCCAAATCCTGTCACCTCTGTGCCAACTGAATGGCCTGGTGATGTGAGGATAAAATGAAAACGTCAAAAATGAAAACAAAACAAAACAAAACAAAAAACTCGCTTTTTCTATTCATATGGGTAATTTCCTTAAAACACTGTGAGGGTCCTGGTCAGACCTCCTCTGTTTGACACCTGTGTGTGTGTGCTAACCTGGCTCTTCTCAGTGAATTCACACACAGAGGTATTAATAACCCCGCCTGCCCACAGAGGCATAAGAGGAGGCACAGGGTGGGCATTTTTCTTTTAGGGGTGGGTAAGTGGGCGGAGGCTACCCCAGCTGTTCCCTCTTCTCCTCAACAGCGGATGCCGAGAATGGCTGAGGATCTGTAGATCTGGGTCAGGAAGGGAAGAAGGGAGGGGAGCTCAGTTACAGCCCAGCTGAATTATGCTTCCTGGAGGTGGTCAGAAACGAACACGTCAAAGCGAACGTGAAATAGAGATACACTCGAGGAAAGAGATGCCATGTCCATGAAAGGTCACAGACTGCAGGAAGAAAGAGGGATCAGTGAATACTTATTCAGGTGTGATGGAGCGTAAGGAGACTAAGAGTCAGGACAGGTGACTGCTGCTCAGGTTATCAGTGAAACACCTGACACACACACACACTCTCAACCACAAACACAAGTCTGTGAGAAAATACAACTTCACTTTCTTTCTTCTAGTTTACTTTTGTTTTTTTTTTTACTTTTAGTTTTTCTTTCATGGTTTTTCTCAATGTTTTTCTTCTTTTTCATTCTTTTCCTCTCTGTATTATTTCTTTAGTTTTTTCTTTTCTATATTCTTGTATTCTTTGGTCGTTCTTCTCATTTTTCTTTTTTTCTTTTTTATTCACATTTTGGTGGACTTTCTTTTACATCTCTCCTTGTTTTTCTCTCTCTCAAACCTGCATCCTCATCCCTCTTTTATAATTTCTATAAATGCCTGTATCGTTTTTCCACTCTCCTGCTTTCCACTCTGTTCTCTCTCTCATGTCTGCCCTTTCTCATTTCCTTTTACAACCTTCAACCTTCTCTCATTTTTTTTCTTTTTTTGTTTTATCGTTCTCTCTTTTTTGGTCTTTCCATCTCCTTTTTGCTTTTTTTTTCATTTCCTGTCATTATCTTTATTTTCTTTCTTTTCTATTTCTGTATACTGTTTTTTATTGCTATTGTTTATCTTTTTATTTTGAGTTATTCCTTAATGTTTTAAATTTCATTCTACCCCTTTTAAACTTTTATTTCACTCTCTTTATTTAACTCTTTTTCCATCTTGTTTCCTTCAATCTTTTAAGTTCTTTAACTAGTATTTTCTCTCTTTTCTGTGTTGGTGCACTTTTAATATTTACTTTTCATTTGCATTCTTTCTTCCTTTTTTTCTCCTTTATTTTATATATATCTTTTTCTCTTTTAAATTGCTCTTTTTTGTCATTTATTTACTACCCTTCCTGGTCTTCTTTCCTCTTCTATCTCTCTCTCTTTTTTACCTTTCCAGAAGTTACGGGCACGTATTTCTTGGTGGACCTGCGTCTGGAGTGTTGCCTGTTTCTGAACGTAGGCAGCAGTGAGAGCCTCTCAGCAGCGTCCTGTCTGGTTGCATCAGGACTGACAGGTTTCTGGATTGCGTCAGGCGAGTGTTTCAGCTTTCAGTGGTGAAGCGTCATCATAACCTTTAATGTAAGACCCGTGTGTTAACAGGGATTAACTGCAGGCTCAGCTTTCACAGCACCAACCTTCGCCAAAGATGTCTGAGCGGAAATGGCTGGATGCCACAGTGTGGATGACAGACGACATCCATCATCATCATCTTTGTCTACTTTTCCTTTTCGGGATTCATGTTGATGTGTGTGGAGATTGAACAGAAGCAGGTTGCAATAGAGGAGATTCATTTCCTGATCAATACCTGGAGAGAGGAATTAAAGTCTGAATTTAGAGTATTGATCTCTGTCAGGATTAAAAAAAAAATGTTTATAAAAACAGTTTAAATCCATGTTAGATGCTTAGAAAATACAGATATATCAGACCCCACACATGGTAACAGTGCAAGAGTCCTGTAAAAATACTTAATGTGCCAAAAACTAACTTAACTTGGGAGGTGTAACAGTCCTGGTGAAAAATGTGACAAGAATGACTCTATCTCTCAGTTCAAATTTGGTGTCTGGTTTTCCTGGCCTCTAAAAAAAAGTCTCTTGACATTGAGATAAAATGTCAATGATAAAATCACTGGTTTGGGGATTATTTCAACATTTTAAAAGGAGTCCTTCAAACAAGATAGCACCTGCGAGGGTTTGTCAGACCCACTTAAAACTGGGGTTGCAGCTAGAGGAGGTTTGGATAAAGAAGAGCCCTTTTGCCCCAACATTTTCCCACGGAAAAAGTCAGGGGCATGGAGAACCCTCAAAACTGGGCAATTCGCCATGAAACAGAAGGTAGTTTTTATCGTAGCCATGCATGCTGCAACCTGACTAAAACTAAGCATGCATAATAAAATTCAAGAGAACTAGGTGTTTTTCCCTAGAAAAATCACTAAGCTGCAACACTGTCACAGCACTACATTGCGACATGCACACTTACCCAACATGCTTAGAGGTGTGAGGGCCTGTTCAGTGCTGCTTGAAGGCGCAGTTTGAAATACAGTTCTGTCAAGACTTCAGTTTGTGCTGATTTTGGCACCCCCTGGGGGTAAAAATGTGTGTTTATAACTTTGCTAATCTTGTCCTGATGCCAAGGAAATCCAAAGTTGCATCTGTCTTTCTTTAAATAATAAATGTGTCAATCATAACGAATATTTGCTACTGGCAAGGTTGATAAAAAAGGGGGTTTCTTCAAGTTGCTGTTAATCAGCTGGTCTGATAGCTATTCCTTTGTTTCAGGAATTACAAATCTTAAAGAAGATATTGTCAGTCCTCTTTCTGGAGGCACAAGTGTGTATTACGGTCCATTTCAAAACCATCACAGAACTCCTCACTGGACCTCTAAAAGGCTGACCTGACAAACAGAATGTCTCTTTTATACTGAGGGGTCATTTCTGTGTTTGTATGCTTGAGGTTTCCACGAGATACAATCACATACAGTTGACTTTAAGGCAGTGGTTCTCAAGTCCAGCCCTCGAGGCCCACTGTCCTGCATGTTTTAGATGTTTCCCTGCTCCAACACACCTGATTCAAATGATCACCTCGTTATCAAGCTCTGTAATGGCTTAATAACGAGCTAATCATTTGAATCAGGTGTGTTGGAGCAGGGAAACATCCAAAACAAGCAGGACAGTGGGCCTCGAGAACCACTGTTTAAAGGTAAGCTCAGATAAACTGAAAACACAGAGTACTTTAATTCTGGATAATGACAGATAAAGTCAGAATTAGGAAAATGAATGTAAAATTTTTTAAAGCTGACAGTGACTCAAATGTTTTTTTAAGTTTATAAAATCAAGCAGAATTGTGAAATGAAAAACATGGGAGTAGAGACAGGGTTATAAAATTCTCAACTTTAATCAGTTCAAAAAGTTCACAACAAATGTAACACCTCGAGAAGGGAAATCTGCCATTAGAGATTGGGTACTTATTTGGATTTATACATTCTTTTCCTAATTAAACTCGTTGGCAATTCATTTGCTCAGTGGACAAAAAGCCTTTTGTTTATTTGAACAGAACTCAAACAGGTACAAATGAAAAATGCAAAAATACAAAAATTAAATGTAAACCCAGTTTTATTTTGTCATTTTGCTCTAAAGGTAGTGTCTCTTGACGCACACTACTGCATGGTAAACAATCTAAATTAGTACATTTCAAAAATCTTCAAAGCCATCTGAGTTAAACAGGAGTTGTTATAAAGATGCAACCAACTAAGAACCCATAAATACCTCCTCCACTTCCTTAAAACATCCCATTAATGAAGGCTCACAAATGAGCAACAATCCTCTTAGAGGAAAACAAAACGCTGATGTCGACTAGGCGACAGCACACACGCACACACACCCACAACAAAAAAAAAGAAACAATAGAATAAAAGGATAAAATGTTCCCATGGTATTAAAGATGCTATACAATTGGGATGATATGCACATATTTGCTTTTGCTTTCCCTAAAAAAACCTCCTGCAGGCAGCAGCCAAACACTTTTTTAAGGTGAAGCAGAACAGATGCTGAAAAGCCACGCAGCATCTCTCGACCTTCATTCATTATCCATTAGATTCACATTCTCACAACAGACAAGCGGCGCGTGAGCATCTCAAAGACCGCTTTCCATGTGTCAAACCACAGGTCTAGAAGCTTCTATGCCGACTAGACACACACCCTGCTCGGACTGTATATATAATATATTTATATATAAACAAATACATGAGGGCGAGGGAGGGGGGGGATGGAGGGTGGAGGGAACAGAACAAAAACGAGATGGTTTAGTCCCTCTAATCGTTACAACCTCATCATGCAGGTCTTAGGATGGACCAGAGACCAACGAAACAGAAGATTAACAGTTCTGGAAAGATTACACAAAAAGTCTCCATAGAAAACGCAGATTATGTAAAAAGGGCCACAGGGTGACGCGGTAATCATTTACATATTGTTGGCATCATTTTGGTCAACAAACTTGGGATGGGATGGTCCGCCCTGCAGAGGGTGAGCAGCCTCCCGCCACACTCAAGTGCCTCTCTCTTGGGTTTTTGTTGTGTTTGCTGTGGTTAGGGTCTATTATCTGTTTGTTTTTGTTTGTTTGGAGTACTGTACAGTGTGGTGGAGTCCGGGCTCAGTCACACATCTCCTCAGGGATCTCGTGAGGATTGAGGATGCCCGGCACTGACATCTGGATCTTGTGTTTTTCTTCCTGGGCCTGACGTAGCGATGCTTCCCTCTCCTCCAGGAACAAGTCAGAGGTGTCCTCGCCTGCAAACTCCTGCGACAAGGAAACGCACGAGGTTAGCTCTCAGAATACATCTCCATTCATCCACTTATCCTGACTTTACAACTAAAATACACTTCTCCTTTAACTCAATAAAAGCCAAAACATCACAAAAAGGGAAGTATCTTTTGCACATTTTGGTGTTCCCTTTTGAAAAATGAGGAATATTTTCGATTTTAGAAGTGATTACAAACTGTAGAAGTTTTGTTCTTTTTCTGCTCTGAGTCTTAATCTCTACATATCCTGTCATCTCTTTCTACTACCATCCTTGTTGCAAACCTCGGTCCGCTAATTTGGCTCTGGGTCTGCTCCATTTGGGTGAGCTGGCACGGTGCTCCAACACAATAAAAGAGGACTGTCCAAATTTAGTATTCATCGACCGCCAGCAGCAGCATCTACAACTTCAGCTGACAACAAAACTGTGCGACTAATGAATGCAAGCATGGATGGAAATGTTCAAAAAGTGTTTTTCATGTCAGCTGAATGACACACATACTATTTTTGCCGCTACATTCAGGGGGACATCTGGCACATGTCAGTGACAAAGTGTTTATTGCACATATTCATCAGAGATGTGACTGGCAAAGCATAAAAATGAGGAAAATAGACAAAGCACAGAGCAGAGTAGTATTATGCACCACAGGATTTCAGCGTTTTCATTTTCATAGCCTATTTGTAACTCTTCACACTATAGTAAATATATCTCTATAAATATATGTCTTTTCCAGAATTTCATCAATATATTTACTCAGACAAATCGTCCTACATCGTAGCAAAATGACGAGTTAAAGGAAAGTGTCAGAGTGACAGATACAGCATGCTACCATAAATGCCTGCAGGCAGTCTGCACAGAGAGAGAGAGAGAGAGAGAGAGAGAGAGAGAGAGAGAGAGCTGTTCTGCTCTATGTTTACTTTGATCTTTGTGTATGGTGATATCATTATCCTGATTTCATCAAATACTGCTGCTTTAACAGTGATGCTGTTACTCTGTGTTCATTACATCCACAACAAACCAAGACAAAAAAAAAAAATCATTAAATGATTCGTACCATTATTAGAAGGAGTGAACAGGTCTAAACAATCAAAATACAAAACCGACCCGAACATCAAATCTGCTGACACAGTAATCCAGTCTGGCCTCCACCTGACTTTAAACACAGTGTGCTATTTTTAAGAGTTAAGTCCATAAATGAAGCGCCAACAGACTGACAGGTGAAAAGTGGCTCAATCAGTAGCCCAGAAAACACTGAGAAAGTCGTCATTGTGTTGCTATCAGGTGCAGCTTTACAACAACAATAGGCTGGCAGAGCGTCGGCAAACCTTCCATATACTTAGAAGGACAACCTGGCCGTGCAGGAAAATGTTATTTCTGGAAACATCAGCTAAGCAGCTAACTATGCAGAGCCTGATAAGCTCTGGGTGAAGAGACAAAGCTCGACTGCACAGACAACAAACAGCAGAGCTGGAGCTGCAGGGGGCTTTGTCCGCTGTAGTTCAGCTTAACAGCAAACAAACACACAGAGAGGGACTCCAATTCATTACAATAAAGGGAAATTCTGATGTTTTTTTTTCTTTCTTCTTTTTTTAAACTAAGACCTACCTTTACTTATTTGTTGGTGAAAACAAGCCCTACTAAACAAACCTGTTACAAATGCTTCACCAACAGGCTTGGTTAGTTTTTCCCAGTGTCTAAAAACATTATGGAAAGGATAACACAGGGCTGAACCTTTTAAATAATATATTTTATCAAAAGATGACAGCCATGAGATCACTCCACGAGGGAGTTGTACAGTCAAAGGTAGTCACAGCTTGATCTCGTTTTTTGTGGAGGGCCTGGTTCTGTTTTTATTTTATGTTGAATCGAAAAAAATAAAGTTTCTGACCCCAAAAAGGGACTTACTTTCATGATGCTAGAATTTCTCTTTCAATTGAGACTCGAATCAAATGGTGCTTATTGTGTCTTTTATGTTTCACATCACAGAAGTACAACAGCACTGAAAAAAGCCCAAAATCCTGTGCTGGCAGTGAATTGTAAAATGAGTAAGTTTGCATTGTAAACTTCTTTAACCTCACCTTAATCTGGACCAGGAAGTCCCTCAGGTGCTCCTTGAAAGCAGGAATGTCCTGGTTTAAGCTGAACAACCCGGTCACAAACACCTTCACCTGAGCACTGACACACACAAAACCACAGGGAAACCGGTTAAGAGTGTGTATTTTTACAACAGCACAACTGTGTATGTGTGTGTGTGTTAGAGTGTAGAGACTCACTCTTGTAGGTGAGGGAAGGCCGTCTTTAGCAGGTTGGCCACATACTCCTGGATGAACACCTGGTTGTTGGTGGGGCTGCTGGGGTTCAGCACTGTGGTGATCTTTCCTTCCTCCACCAGGTTGAACATGTAGGCCAGGATGGACGCGTGCATCGTCAGGCCTGAAGGACACACAATGAAAAACAAAATTTTATTACAGAAACCTGCTCTTTCTTTTATCCTCTGTGAATTTATATCCATCTCATTAGTGTGTAAGTGTGTGTACTCACCTGCAGTGTGTGACGTGTCAGTGACGACAGAGAAGATGTGTTGTAGGATATCACAGAAGTACGTCTGGTAGAAACTCTGAGCGGCTGCTTCCTCCTGGGCCACGTTCTGCAGCATCGTGTAGAGAATCTGCAGACCTGGACGAGCAGAAACAGACTCAGCTTCCTGCACATTTTTCTTCAGGTGTCAGACTGATTGTGTTGTTGTCCCAAAGACAATTATGGATGTTTTAGGGATTTAAAAAAAGATCTTTTTGAGTCCTGTTTGAGATAGAAAGGATTATTGTTTGTTTAAAAGCTACTGCTTAACAAATGACACATAAAAAAATACAAACAGGCCGTTTCTTTCAAAAAGGAGGGACCCCTGTGATTCTTCAGTTAATAGGAATGTCACGTAACAGTTCTGGGTCATTGTAATCAGAAAGACTACTGGACTAATTCATGTTTTTTTTTGGTGTTGTAGACCTGGAATGCTGGTCATGTTGTGGAGTAGATGTAATGCAGCTTCCAGCCAATAGCCGGCACTGTAGCTTCAGTTACTAGCTACTGTCATAATGCTATAATGCTCTACTACCCAGATGTAAACAAGCAATTATGACAGATGGCATTTCATAGTTTTTTGTTTTTTTTTGCCATGTTTATTGCATGTTGGTTTCAGGATTATGCAAATCATCCTACTCTGTTTCTTTTTGCCTTTAATAAATTACCCCAGCCCCTTTGGCAAAAAAGTTACAAGGCAGTATGTAGAAAACAGCCTTTAAAGATTGGATAGGCATCATAGACTGTATACAGAATGGACAGCGTTTTTCTGTGCAGCTCCGTTTTTAAAAGTTACTAGGAGGTTCATGTTTTCTATGATTGACACTTGATACAGCCTATGGGCGTACGAATATTGCGTAGCTCACCCAGGGGATACTCTGGGGAGGCGGAACCAAGTTGTCCGTAGTATATACAGTCTATGACAGGCATCTTTAGCAACAGCACTTTCTAAACTTTTACTGTGAAATAACCGTCACTTCACACAGATGTCGACGTCGCAGCACCCTGGTGACGATACAAAGTTTTCCTTAGATCCTCTACTGGTCAATAACTTCTATATTCCTTTTTCTATAAATTCCACGTCTTTCCTGAGTCTAGTGGTCCAACGTTAGGTCTTGTTTTGTTTCGGTAAAGCATAAAGAAAGTCCAAGGTCCTAGATTGTTTGGCTATGATCTGTTCACAAACTGTTCCTACAAACTGAAAGTCTACCTGCTCATCAGTGTGGGACCAGAAGCATCCCCTGATGAGTTAATATGAGCGAGAGCTGAGCTTAAGTGTCACTGTGCTCCTGTGGTGTCGCATTTCTGCCTTTTTCACAAAAGTGTTGTTGCTGTTTGAAGATGAAAATGCTCATGTGACAGGATGATACATGGCACACAGATTCTTTTACAACATCTAGTATTCGCGCTTCAGGCTTTGTTGCTCATTTTTACCAGTAAAATATGTAGGAGAGTGTGTTTGTGTGTGTGTGTTTGTGAGCAGACTTACCAGTATCTGCCACGTTCCTCATAGTGTGTTTGAAGGCCCAGATGATGGAGTCCAGCACCAGTTTGAACTGTGCAGGGGGGATGGCGAGGAATGCAGGGAAGCAGTGAGAGTTCACAGCTTGGAGTAGGTAGAAGAAGTGAGTCCTGTGCTCGGGATACTCCTCAAAGTTCTAGCAAAGAGAGAAAAGCTTGTTGAATAATTTTACTGACTTTACATTATTCAAAAGCTCTTCCAGCCTGTGCTGTGTTTACAGAATATTTTCAATGTTTGAAATTCTGCCCCTGTGTTTTACCGTCTTCTTTTTCAGCGTCACTTTTTCACTTTGACCTTTTTCCCCTCATAGTACAGCTGACACGGTAAACATAACTGCTGTTTCCTTTCGCAGTGTTCCTGCTCCAAAGCAATGAGTTTATCAAGCAGCAGTGAGAAGTGAGAGTAGTGAGTTTTAGCCTTTGTATGCCCTGGGTTTTGTCTGTCAGGTGACATCAAAGAAACAGAGGACTAGATTTGTCTATTTACTATACCAAGCACATTTATACAAAGTTTTATATGTTTATTGATGGGTTTAAAACTTAAGTAACCAAACAGGCAGCTGATCCCCTGAAGGCTTTAACCGTCCCTGAAAATACTATGTTTACACTCTTGAGTGCCTGTACAATCTCTAAACACAAAAAGAGGGTAAAAATGTTTACATGCTGTTTGCAGGTTCAAACTAGTTGCTCCATAACTTTAGTGGAACGAGCACTGACCTACTTTTTTTCAGCCTGTAACCTATATTTTTCTTCTGCATAGTTTTTCAGGGGCAGTCTTGCAAAGATCACTCATCTGCACTTCAGATTTAAGGGGAATTGAAAATTCACAAGTCAATATGAGGTAAGGAAAGCCTTCGAGCAATTCAAACCCTCAAGAGTGGTTGAACTATTTGGAGACACTCACTCCTGCTCTTGTACAAAACCGCTGCACAGACTACATAAAAAAGTGCTATAAAAGTAATTTACAGATTACAAAGACCATTAAGATGCCACGAGTTACACACTGCTGAAAACCACTGGCTGCTTTTATGTGTGCATCACTTTTCTTAATTTCATCTGATGCCATCTTTAAAATGATTGAATACCCTCTCATGTAACATGCATCAGTTCGACAGCAGTTTGCAACAGGCAAGAGTAACAAAGTATCATGCATCCGTCTTCCTCGAGGACTGTCTTTCAGCACAACCAGCAGTATGTCTTGGTCATGTCACATGTTTTATCAGTTCCCTGAAGATGGATATCTATGTCTGTTGAATCTGGAGCTATCTCCATTGATAAGCAACAGCCTGAAAAAAGATTGGCTGTGATGCATGGATTACATGCTTTACAAAAGAAGAAAGTTCAAGCCTTTAAAACAAGGACAAAGCCAGATGGCATTCACAGGAAAGTAGCAAAGAAGTTATCACGTAAAAACTGTCAATAAGATTCTTTTTTTAACTCCGTTTGTACAGAAGCTACTTTAGAAACATGAGCAGTGAGAGATGAGGTCCTTAAGGAAAGGAAAGGTTCATACCAGGTTGAAAGTACAGTGAGTCATCCTTAGCAGCATTGAGCAGGACAGACGTGGTAGAAACGGAATAAAATATCCTCAAGTATGTTCACGTCAGCGAATAATCAACTGAATTTAAAAAACGTTCTGTTTTTGTTGACTTGGAATGAGCCACATATTTCTACTAAGGAGCAGGTCCACTTCCACAGAGGCCACCATCTTGCACCGCAATATCTCTACAGCAGCACAGAACAGAATAGAAACGTAGGCATTTGGTTTTGAGACGAGGAAGAAGATGATGATGGTTGTTATAGTACACACAACAATTTGTTCTGACAGAAGTTTTTTAAGAGTTAAAGCTTGACAAATGTGAGATTTAACTTCTCATGCATCACAGGTTAGTTTTGTCCTTGAAGGCCACTGTTGCTTCATAAACATGAGTGGAGAGCAAAGACGCGGTTTAATCTATAACCATTCATTATGGCTAAATATTCACATGTCTACACTCTTTACCTTATTGGTGTGAAACCTAAATAAATAGACTGTAATGAAAAGTTTGTAGAAAGCTTATTAAGGTTTTTGACTCATTTGGATGAAGTGCATGTGCAGACTCAGTCAGCGCAGAACTGTGATTTTCAGATTACCCTGAATGCATCATGGTAAGAGACATTATGTTCCCTCGATTGTCTGTGTTTGGATTTTCATCAAAGTAAATTGGACTCATTTTTATTTTAAGTCATCACTAAAAATCAGAATCAGACATAGTAAGGTCACTGTCTGCAACACCAGTTTAGAAAAGGTATAAATAACATTACCCACAGAAAATACAACAATTCAAACTGTGTGTGTGTTTGTTTTCTTAACGGTATTTGTCGGATTGAAAACGAAGGATGCCTCACCTTATTGATCATGTTAAGGGTGCATTCGAAGACAGCGTCAAAGATCTGAGGTATCTCACTGGTGATGTGTCCCCCCAGCTTGTTGACGATGGTTGCCATGGTACTGAGCACCTCTGGCTCACGGGCAGCAGGGACGTTGCGCTGGTAGTCGATGAGGACGGCGTCCAACAACGGTGGAACAAAGTTCTCTCCTACCTGAAAATAAAGAAATAAAATAATTAAAAAACAAGAAGGGACAAACTCGGGGACATCAGGAAGGAGTGGCCACCCTTTTAAGACACTTAAGTAGGCTTTTTTTCCGACAGGTAAAATACAAGACAGGTTTAGTCAAATTTCTGCATGTCTACAAACTGTGACACACTATGAATATTTATCGCTCTGAAGATAAAAACATCGCTGAGGGCAGAAATCTTTGTGTTTGATCTAAAAATACCAGCCAGATTAGTTTTTCCTCTTTTTTACCGTCGACTGTTTCATTGATTGTCATGGTTAACAGGATCCTCTGAGGACACTCACAGCTCTTTACTTTGCGAGTATGTAGTCAGGGGTGTAAACATATGAATAATTCAGCCCGACAAACTCAGAGCAGGAAAAAAGAGGCAGCATGAGATCATTTAACTGTGTGACACCCGCCTGTGTTTTTGGTTTCACTGAAAGTAAAGACTTTCTTATGTGAAAGAACAGCCTCAGTTGCTGTTTTCCACTTCTGCAATTGATTTGCAAATAAGTCTTTCCATGTCATGTTGAAAATGTTACAGTAGCTCATGAGACAGCTGGAAACCTGTACAGAAAAGGGTTGACTCTAATCAGTGTGAAGAAAATGACTTGCAATATCCTGTTTGAACAGAAGAGGGAGTTATCTGCCTTTGACATGCCATGTAAAGCTAAGTAGAGGCACACAGACTTAGACGCAGCAGGTGAGGGTTTTATATTTGAGGATACTCCACCAGTGTTTCCCACACAGAGACAATGCCTGGTTAGCCTGCAAAGGTCTGTTCACAGGCAACTTCAGCCCTTTCGTTGATTCATCAAATGTTGCCATCTGCCATCGATTAACTTGTGAGGTTGTCAAATGTTCTGATACTTTTTGATGTAACGTGTTTTACAACATCATCATAGCCATTATTTTTCTGTTGAACTGATTGAAAAGCACCAAAGTTTATGAGAAAAGAACAAAAATATCTCAATTCATATTATTCACCTCAAGTTGCCACAAGTACAGAGAAGGAGAACATTTTTAAAAAATCCACACCCTGAAAAAAACATGAAAGACAGTGCTGGATTTTTAACTGCTTCTACAGTAACGTCTTTTCCTGCCTGCCCTGCCCTCCATCACAGAGACTACACCTGTTCATCCACAAGTTGGCAAATACTGACTGTGTCTCCTGAAATGCACTGGTTACATTTATGCCTGTATCAGACAGACTCTGGGCAGAAAAGAGATGTCACCAAGTCCCTTTATGCTTTTAATAGTCCTGAGAGAGCTTCTCAGCGCTGCATACTGACTGATTCTCATAAAATGACCTAATTGGGGAAATAATTAGAAAACTGAGAGAAAGAGCACACTCTGTGCAGATACAGACACCACCACACACTTCTTCAAAAAGTATGTTTCCAATCATTTTCAGGACAAATCACCTTATTTTTCATTCAATATTAATAAACAAATGTTGGTCTGTGAATGTATCTGTACCAGCACTGTGTACAGCTTGTAAATCAAAAACACTGAATATAAACAAAATGCATTTTGGGTTCCCAGTACTTCTTTTTCTGTTTCAGTGGTATAAATGGTAACATAGTAACTCACATCATTTAAAAGTTCAAATTCTGGTTAGAGGCCAACAATATTGTTTTTTTAGGACCAATGCCAATACTGATTATTAGTGATTCATCAGACCAATAACAGATATTCCGGGCCGATATGAAAAGGAAATAAAACTGAGAATCTCCAACTCAAGACCTTGATCGGCTCTTTATAGCAAATGCTTAATTAAACTATAATGTTCGACATCATGTACAGGAGTAAACCAGTTCCTCTTATAGCACAGTTGTGTCACATAGCTGTGTGATACCTTGCCAATCACTTGGTGTCATGGCTGGCACAATAATTTGGTCCACCCCTTTCACTAGTATTGTGACACTCTACTAACTACTTGAGAATCTTCCTTCCTCTGGTCCTTGTGTGTATGTGTGTGTGTCATGAGTGATGCATGTCTGTAACTTAGGGATGTGGCTGATATACCTTTGTGTCCTTTCAGAATAAAAGCATATTTTTAAGAAGTAAACTAGCAGTTAGAAAGGCAAACAAAAAAAAACAAAAAAAAAAACACGTTAAACAGTTTCATGAAGCAATCTCCACTCTAAACCTTGAGCATACACTGGATTACCCAAACTCTTCAAATAATTGTGATTTTTTGTTGTTTTTCTTTACCCTGAAGCCAACATTATAGTTTTGTTGGTTGATTGTATCTGTTCCACAAGAAAACACTGCAGTGCTTTCAATGCAAACGCACAAGTGTCCTTCTCCTGCACACCTTAACCAGGAGTCACTAACCGTCCAAAGTAAAAATCTGTTTTCAGGTCATACAGAACGTGTATCACACTGACAAAACTCCTGCTGAGTGTGACATGTGTGAAAGGGCGAGTCTGGCATATTTTTAGACCTGATTGTGGGGAGTTAAGTGAAAAAGGCTTATCTTAAAAAGTCATCGGAGGGCACAGACAGAGGAGTGTGTTTACGAACTTTCCTATAATTGCTGCGGTGCCAAGACTACAGTACAAGATTAGTAAGACAAACTATTTGGATCTAGACAAGCCTCCAAACTGGCCTAAATCTATCAAACCCCAAAATAAATGTTCTCTCTGAGAATTTTGAGCTGATATCCAGATAACTTCAGATATTCCCTTCCCAAGAAGTCACACAGCAGTTGATTTCACAATTCAGATGATTTCAGAGCCTCACCATCTGCGGGTCGTTTGATCTGCTGACCCAGCCTGAGATCAGTTTCAGTGTCTCCCGTTTCACTGTTCTCATACTTCGGATCAGGGGCTGTTTGGTCACCATCTCACCTGCAACACAAAGAAAGGGGAAAAAAACTTTAGTCCTGCTTTTCATAGCTACGTTTTGTAGTGATGATGTCTCTGTGTGCATGGTTTATAATAATGCCATATATTGAGGCTGTCTTACGGTTTTTACTGCGATACTAACTTGAACTTTATCTCTGAATAATTTGCACAGCACTGCAGCTGATGTATCATTCAGGGACATTTTTTACATATGACTTTACAGAAAAGGATAACAAGGTGTGGTGAGCCTGAGTCCATTACCACTAACATTATATGTTTTTTCTTATCTTTAAAAAGACATTTGCTCTGCACTGTGCCTAATTACATTTTTTTTTCATCTGTCATAATCTGGCAATAAAAAGAAATCACATGCATCATCAACCAAAGAGTTTTGTTTATCTTTAAATCAGAATTAGTTCTTGCTACATGGATCAGCAGTTCCTCCCTTCTCTAAATCAGCTGCCGATGTGAGCAGAAAAGTCCTTGATATTTGATTGCTACTGACAGACCTCATACGGCACCTCTGCTCTCGTTTAAGCTAAGACTCAGAGATGAGTCACCGAAAACAGGAGCATAGAGAAAAAAAACACAGTCTTTATGGCCCACAAATAAAAGGGAAAACGAATACAGCGATCCTCCTGCAGACAAGGACAAATTTTAGATGCTTTAAAAATACGAGTCAACCCAATAAAAAAAGCCCCAGAAAGAGCTTGACATTTTGTGGCTGAACTCTGCGTACATAGTATTGACGCCTGAAAATAAAGACATTCAGATTATCTTCAAACCTGGCAGCACACTGAGGACTGCATGCCTAACAAACAATAAAACAACACAATCTCTGCAGCTTACAGATCTGTCAAACAACAAGTCTTTCAAAAATGCGAAGCGCAACATAAAAAAGCAAACACATCTGGTTAAAAATCAACTATTTAGTTATTCAAAGCACTGGAAATTAGGTGCTTCTAGTTATTTTCCTGCAGACATGCAGACATGAAAGGGTCTCTACAAGATGCTGCAATATGGCAAAACAACCACGATCATTTCTGTGATAATTATCTACAGTATATATACCATTATGATGTATATTGTGGAGTTCTGCAAGATTTTAGAATATACTGACAATCACAGAGACAAGAAAAATAGACACTCCATAAGGAACTTTAAAGAAGTTTGGATGCGTTTTACATAGAGACAACAGTTGCATGTTAGAGAGTAGTGGACTTGAAATGTCTTTTTCTCACTCCACTGTTTTTAAAACCTTGACTTAACATTTCAGGATGAAAACTTTTGTGGTAATAGGAAAAGCTTGTTGGGTTCCACTTCTCGAATGTATTTGAAGATTTAAAACCGTTCGACGTACCGTTTGTCTGAATGGCAGCAGAGATGTTCTCGCTGAGGCACTTGTAGACGTTGAGCATGTCGAGGTAAATCCGTCCCAGCTGGATGACAAAGGGATGTCCCACTGCTTTACAGGCCCTGACGTTTGTCTTCAGGATGCTGCCCAACTGTTTCACAGTCTCTGGGTCCTTCAAGATGTCCACATTCTGAGGAAGAAGAGGGTTAAAGGTGAAGACACTGTTTCCATACTTTTGACTGGTGTTTGTGTCCCTGAGCTTGTCTCTTACCTTGGTGGCCTGCTGGATGATGCTGTCCCACACCTGGTTGGGAAGTAGCATGTACTTTTCTATCAGGTGTTCCTGGACAGCCTGATCTGTCTGAGCTCCGATCATATAACCTACTGCTTCATAAAACGTGTGCACCTGCGACCAAACGGGGAAAATGTCAGTATGAAATTACTGCCAGTGTCCGTTTGAGGAATTATTGTCTTTGCTGAGATGTTGGAAAATGTCAAATGCAATCTTTTAGCTGACCTGCTGAGGTTGTAGGTCACAGATGATGGTGTTGATATTATTTAGGATTTCGTCTATGAAGGGCATCACTTCTCCAACCTGAACCTGGATGAAGTGGCGCCGGCACTTCTGGGCAATTTTGATGAAGGTGTCACAAGCCATGTCCTGAACACCGTCGTGGGTCTCTGAGGAAAGAGGTACATGGAGGATGATACTAAGTTATACAAATAGTAACAAGCTTTCAGTCATTTGAAAGCAGTTTACTCATGGAAGGCTGTATAAAGGTAAAGAAAAATATCATCCTATCTTACCGTGCATGAACTCGAAGAGTTTGTTGACTACAGTTTTGAGGAACTTCCAATGAGCTCTGAGGAAGCGAGGATATTGGCCGACAATATACATGATGTTGGAGGCGATGATGGCCTTGTTGTCTTTCCCTCTCTTCTGCTCACACAGACCCAGCAGATCCTGAGATAAACAAAGATTTTCACATCAGATAAGTAATCCGTGGCCACTACCCACAGCTACATACGAGATAGAAGTTTGGAACTACTTTAAAACTCCAAACATGTCCAAATGTCTACTTTTTTAGTTTTAAAATGAACAGCATAGGCCGTTTGAAAACTGAAATGATTTCTGACATATTGACTGAGGTGAGTACTGAAAAAGAAAGGCTGATGTGGGTTATTTTGTTTTGGAAAGGGGTCCTGTAATAGGGTGTGACAAATCAATGTTTGAGTTTCTACAATAACAAAGGCCTTTGTCTCTGAGTTTTCAAACCACAACAAGGCCAACAACATTTACCACAAGTCTTTGTCTGAGGGGATCGGAGACTATTCTAAGAGAAGACGTTGTATGAGTAATGTCCTTAAAAACTGGGTTTTTACATAGTCGCAGCCCTTAGTAGTTTGACAGCTCTTTGTTGTGTTTGAATTTAAGTAATGCAACCTTGTACCTTGATGACAGTGACCAGAAACCTCTTCTCATCCTCCTCGTGCATCGCCCCACTGATGGATCCAATGGCCCAGCACAGCGTGTTGAGGTTCTTCCAGGACCACTCGGTGCCGTTCACCTGGTTATGGAGCTTCTCTGTCATGATGCGTTCTGTGTCTGCGTAGTCCAAGTGAGTCAGGTACACTGCAGGGAAACACAGCACAAACAGTTGGTTTACATGATGTATGGTCAACCGAAAAGCTGTAAGCGAAAGACATGGGTATGTTAACTGATGTGAGTAAGCAGGGTTACCAGTGGCATTGTTTCTTTTTTTTTTAAATATAGAAATGACAAAAGAAAAAAAACTATTTAACTTTATTTGGTCATATTTACTGAAACGCTGTCTTTTGTAGGTGAAGGGCAAAGACTAAGTAAAAGATGAAAAGACATAATCCTGCTGGGTGTGCCCTCTGCTGCTCCAAACTCTTACCCAGGGTTTCCCTCATGTTTTTGTAGAGGTTTATAGAGTCTGTGTCCTTCATGAACTCCCTCACCACCTCTCCCTGGTCATTCTCTACCACCAGCACCTCCTCCGGCTTGGCCATACGACTCACCATCAACAGACGCACCTGTTGTGAGAGATAAAAACCCCGTCAGTGCGTCTACACATCCAAGAACAGCTTGAGACTATCACACATAATAAACACACACATTGCAACATGCAACCTGAGCAGGCATAAAGATTATTTTACAATAAGGCGTCTGTCCCCACATACCCGCAGATATGGTTTCATCAAAGAAATAAAACAACTGGATGCTATTTTGTTTCACTAGCTGCTGATTTCCAGTAAAGCTGTAACTAGTTCCTGTTCTGGCAGCAGTTTAGCAGCCACCTGTTGTTGACCACTGCCAACTGACTCGAGTATGGCCATGTGTGAAGGCCCTCCAGGTTACATAAACAGAAACAATCCTGCACTTGTCCTCTTGACCAGCCATATCATCGTGACCAAGGGAAACTAATGCCGCCCATTACAACAGCTCGACCATGAGCTCTACTTTCAGGTGTCTGTGGTTTACTTGAGTCCGTTATATTGAAAGGTGTTTCAAATACATTGCTTCCCCCATGTTTGTTAATGAAGTGGAACAAAACATGAGGAACAACATTCAGTATAACAGGTCAGTTTCATTCTCGGCTATACTCATACTCTAGCTTATCTGCTTAATGTGGAATAAACAGAAGAAAGTTGAACTGGTGCTCAACAGAAATATCCAGACAATAATGACCAATGATGAAACCGTGATGGCCATGCATGCGCTCCTTAAAAGCTGTGACTGTCACTTTGAATCACTGACAGTGTCAGCTCATCTGCTGTTGGCCTTTCACATTAATTATTTTTCAGAAAAGTGCAGTAACATTAGGAATAAAAACTTTGCAGTCTTCATGAATCGAGCGTCCTCTTAGCAACAACACACATCCATGAGACTTGACTCTCTCCTCTCACAGTCTGTAAATGTGTCTCTTCAATAAATAATCCTAAAACCAAAAACAGCTTATTCAACCTTTGACTCCAAAACACGCAGCGATTGCACTCTACTTTTAGAAAAACAGCGCAGTAGTTTTATTTTGGGGTGTGGGGTCAAAACATTTGGTTATGGTATAAAAAATATCTCATTTAACTAAAACCAATGTAACATGCTGGTTTAGACACATAAAGAAAAACATTATTATATAATCATTTGTACTAATTGAATGTGAGAGGCTGTTACCTTTGAGAGAACAGGCAGGTAGAGCTGTCTGCGAGGCGGTACGTCAAAGTGCTGGTTTCCAGAGAGCAGAGGGGACGTGGATGTAGAGAAGGGACTCTCTCTGTAGAGCTCGGCAGCCAAGTGGTTCCAATACTCCAGACAGATTTTAAAGATCTCAGTCTCTTCCACTTCTGATACCAGCAGCATGTAGTGGAGGGCCTGAGAGGAGAGCAAGCACCATCAGGTAATGGGTGCACCTTTCCACATAGTGTTGGAGGATTAATAAATGATTTCAGCAACATTGGTCCAACCTTTTCTCTTGTTCAGCTGTCTAGAAAATCTCTAACACGCTACACTGAGTTCCTACCTCCATGAGTGTCTCTCTGAGGTTGAGCCGCTTCTCAATGAGCTGCCCGTGCTCTTTTAGGAACGTACAGAGGAACAGACTGAGGTTCTGGATAAAGTTCTGCTCGTCGTCCTTCCCGTTGGCGTAGGCCAGCCGAATGTTGGTGTTCAGGGGCAACATCTGCAACAGACGTGGACCAAATAGAAATTAGAATCAGTGTCTTTACAACAAGAAAAGTGAGCATGAGCATTGTTTTCTGAGGGCCCACCTGCTTAAGTTGACACATTGTCAGGGTGAAGAGTGTGACAAACTGCTCCTCATACTGGCTGACACTCACACCTGCAATCTCTGTGAGGCACTTCAGTGTCACGTTGCGAAACATGGGCACGTTCAAGAACTGAAAACAAAACAGATGTTTGGTTTTGTTAACAACTTGTCCGAGTAAAAGCAGCAATTATTTCGAGGAATTTTAATCTCGCTTGGCAAACGCCTCCAAACCCATGAGAGAGGATTTGTTTTGAAAACACTTGATCCGGTACATTCAACTCGATACTCGTCACTGCGTACACACCTTATACACCAATGTGCTGATCAGTTTGGTTTCAAAGATGTAACCGAGAGGGATCCAGTTTAGGAAACGTAGAAGGGTCTCCAGGGTGGCATGGACCAAAGGGGCATTCTGGGAATTTTCCTGAAGGTTCAATTTATCAAAAGGTAAACAGGTGGTGCGTAACCCTGGAGCCTCACCATCAAACTAATGATTGTAATACTGTACTGGAAAGAAGGAGGAGTATTTGCTTACCATAACAAACTGGCAGAGCTGAAATATCTGTGAGAACTCATTGCACATGCTGGAAAAAAAGAAAAACAGATTATTTATCTCTCGATTATATACAGAAACACACATCGACATCTTGGAGATCTACTTGTTTGTAATGCTTTTAAATCGCTTATAAAGAGATCACACAGATAGAATCATTATCACATTTTCAACTTGGTAATTTATGCTAAAGAGGAGTGTAACAAATGATCACAGGGATATTACCACCATAAAATTCAGTGTAGACCCCAACAAATACTCTCTTTTTGCCATCTTAAAAGTGAGCTGCGTCCTTCATATCAGTGCCACCAATATAAAAGTATAAAATGCAGGAGAGTTTTTTTTTTTTTTAAGCTAGTGTTGCAGTACATTATCTTCATGATGGAGCTTAACAGAATGGCCATTTAGCTTTGAAAAGCATGCTGGGTACAAGCTTTTTCAACAGTTTTTTCATTAAGCCATAATCATCCTCTTTTTCAGACACTCAACAAGACGTTCTACGAGAAGTACTTTCTGTACGACAAAATGCTGCATATACTGCTTTCAATAAACAGAATAACTGAAAATATCAAAGATCCGGATTCATGCCTAAGGTTCAACCCAGATATAGAGAATGTGAAGTAAACAAACAACAAAGAAATAAAGCAAAGAATTCAATAAAACCAGAACTGAGAGACTGAGGAACTGAAGAAATCTATGCTGAGTTCAAAACGAGTAAAGGTTCAGTGAAAAAAAATCTTGTGGCGTGCTGGTTTGATTGAGTAATGTCAAGGTGAGCAATACACGTCCTTACGAATTGGTCATAAGTGCAACTCTAGGCTGAGCTCAATAATGCATCTAACGTGAACACAGACCGTGGTAGAGTGAGCTGCGCAGCGGCAGAGAAACTGAACACTGGAGGTCTTCATGCAAGATTATAGACTCCATGAAAAAGACTGTTTTATAAACCATGAGATTAAAATTCTAGACTTTACAGTAATTCTGACATTTTCTGTTCAAAATAAAATTAGTGGCATTTCCTTAAAAATCCCCTTTCTTCCCTCTAGTCTATCAATGTTGCTGGGCAATTCTAATGATGCTCTCTGGGCTAAATTTGGCCCACAGGCAGCTCCCAAGTGGCCCAACAAACCCCAATCTTGCTTATTTCCAGTCCCAGATGAAAGATGCACATGAGAAGTATTAGTCAGAGCAGAGGTCCATGAGAGTAATTGTGATCAAAACATTCAGACCATGCTCAGTATTCTTACTTAAAAAAGACATCATCCATACTTAAGTGGGAAAATGGACAGAGAAAACTGAAAGTTCAACTTTGCTTTAACTGGTAAGTATTTGTTTGTTTTGCTGCCGACTCTACATGAAAAACATCTGACTTTCTCAACCAACTTCCCAAAGGGATCACAGAAGAGGCAAATTAAAGTACAGAGTTTGTCGGCAGCGTATGGACATATACGTAAAACAATGGCACTGTCCTGTGCAGCCCAACAGAGAACCACAGCAGCTCTCCCTGTATGTTGAAGTTCTTGAAAAAGAAGCAGCCATTTACAAGCACCAAAGTAGTGAAAGGATGTGTCCTGGCTGTTGTGAATAAAGTGAGTCTATACAGTGACAACAATAAAAGCTGTTTTTATAACGCTCTTGCACTTCAATGTGCCCCTGCCAGATATGTGACCTAAAGGTTTTTTGCTTTAAATGTGAAAAAATGAGTGTTAGTGTTTTGCTACATTTATTTAAAAGTTTGCCTTTTGATGAATCAGGGAAAAAATTGAAAGCTGTTGAAACTGTCCAGCCCACAGAACTGTAATGTCATGGACAAGCCTTGAAACACAATGCTGGAAAGTTCTACATGAAAACACAAAACCATCTCTGATTGACGAGGAAATCAAACCTGCAGCCATCAAGCTCATGTGACACATTGAAGGCAAACACAACAGTGTATGCAACTCTTAGTCAAATACAGTGGTTTTGTGGAAGCACTCAGGTCTGGCTATGTGTCAGCTATAAACAGTAACTACATTTTCACTACTGCACTCAGTAGACATTTGAGATTGGCTGGCATCAATCAGAGGATTCAAGGGAAATACAGCATCTTCATTTCCCATGACCTGTCTTAGACTGTGAATGTCTGTTTCAAAGACTTGATAAAAAGTTAACTTATGTGCAATACTTGTAATACTGACTATGTGTTGCAAACATGCAATACATGACAAAGGGAGGTTTTGATATGGATCCCCACACTGCATCATTGGAATAATGCTGCAGCATTTTCTAATACGGACACACTGAGATGTTTTATGTTGCTTTGAAAAGAGCCAGAGAGAGACGCAGCATGCTGACCTGTCTTTTAGATGCTTGGCTTTGACCTGGGTCATCTGGCCGCTGGAGAAGTCAAAGACCTCCTCGCTGAGCAGCTTCAGGATCACCATGTTGTTCTGACAAAGGCTCTCACTCGTACGACTCGCCCCCACGATGTCACTGATGAAGGTGGGCCAGTGTTTGGGCCACTCCTGTTTCAGGATCTGAAGAAAACACACAAACATATAGTCAGTGTTAAACGGAGCAAAGTAACATTACTTGACCATTAAAGTCTCGAGACAAAAAATACAATAAAATGTATCTTGAATTAGAAAACTTTGGGAGTTAAGCTGTAAGAAGAAAAAAAAATCAGCAATGACTTATTGAAATCACAGATCGGGTCTGAGTCCTGGTTTCTGCTTTGCACCACTTCAATAAAAAAGAGAGACAGAGATCGAGAGGCTGTGCATCACTCTGAAAAAAGTGACCATCTCCTCCTGACACTGTTGAATGGAGCAGTAATTCTGAAATTTGATACATCCTTTGCGTTCTGGTCCGTGGTGAAATTGAAGCTGGTAATGGTATTAGTCTTCAGTACGACATGCAGAAACGTAGCACTAATCACACTACACTATATTCCTACAACATCTTACCATTAGCTAGTGGCTCATCTATCATGGTACTTCTGGTGCTTGCACAGTCCACCATTTAACACAAACAAACATGATTCATTGCTGCCAGTTTCATACAGATTGAGTCCGACCTTCATAAAAACACGAGTATATATACTCGCAAATGACTGTAGATGTCCTGAAAATCTCCTTATTTCACGGTGTATTTTATTAATTCAAATATGTTGTAATTTAAATGTAGGACCCGCTGGTCACCTCTTCTCTCTAAAATTTATTAGCTATCCTTGTTTATTTGACTGCATTATGTGAAATCATTTCTATTATTATACGTTGCATTAAATTTGAAGCCTTACTGCCCTATGCTGATGTAGTGCTGATACTGTTTTGCGAGCTTCTTTAATTGGATACTTGTGGCAGAACTGTTTTACAGGCACTGATATACAGGTGTAGAAGCAGCGGGCCACAGAGTGTGTTAAGCCAAAAGCTTTTTGTTTCTTGCTTTGAACAACATCAAGTTTTCTTGGCCCACACTCTCTTTCACACTGAGGCAAATATTTTGGCTGTATTGGCTGAATGCTTTCAATTCTCTGCTTGTACAGGTTTTCCTTCTAGAAATTCAGAATTGAATATACAGTATAAAAAGAAAAGTATAGAGCAGATTACATTAAAAACTCGTTGAGTTGAAGATTATTTACGTCAAATTTGAGCATTTTCATGCTGCAGCTGTGATCTACACAAACACAAACACAAACCCAGCCTCCTGAGTGTGGAATCTAGTGCTCCAGAGTCCCTGAAGGCCGAAACAGTGTTACTCGGCTGACGCAGGCAGTGACTCATTCTCAGCGGCATTAATGCAAAGTCACTAGAAGCTCCTATGAGTGTGTCTGTCTCCCACACAGGAATATACATCAAACACACACACACAATGAGGTCATGTCATGTTGGTTCACTTCCAGAAACACAATTTAGAATATGGACGACTGTTTGCATATGTTTTGGTCAAGTGACCTTGCTGATATACATCTCAATGAGTCATAGTAATTTTAGGAAGTGGTCTGCTTGCATCAGTCTGCACAGGGTATGATCTGCTCATTTCTGCAGCCCAGAGTTTATAGCACTCAGCATCTTTTTAGGTGTAGGGATACAATTCTCACTGATGTGTTATACAATATGTTGTTCTGCCTTCGTTCTGCACGGTGCATCATTACTGCAGACTGAACATTTCAAAAGAACAACTTCTTTAGGGTCCCTCTTTTTGAGATGATCTTTTCCCGCTCTTAGGTCCCCAGAGACGACCTTGCTAAAGACTGTCAAGTCGACTAAATATGCATCTTAAAGACGTAGTCACAGTGTGAGGGTCAGATACACCAATTTAGAGTGACATCTTCAGGTTAAGCAGTATCACTACAAAAGCAGTGAGGAGCATTGAAGTAAACTGGGATTCATTGTTCCAAAATATTTCTAAAACTGTGATATTGACTTCTTTTGTGACAATGCTGCAGATGTACTTAAGAGTCCCACATTTAGAGGAAATGAATGCTTGGATAAGACTGTTGATCGCTGTATTGATCTGCAGGTTTTTTTTCTCCTTAAGACAGGGGGTCTCATCTGTTCACTATTACCTATCATTGATAATAATCTACCTCAGATACACTTTAACTATCTGCTTATGCAGTTGGGAACCAATGAGACAAGTTAGTCAGCAAGCAACTGAACAGCCACATTGACTTTCCAGCAGCAGACAGTGAGTCATAATGTTGTATTTGCTTGGAGGGGAAATTTGTATTTTTAAACGCTGGCCATATTTTCACATTTGGGAGTCTGGATGACTAATTGGTACAAAAAAAACATCAGTAGATTGCTCCTGCCGGCAGGACCGCACAAAAACCAAATGAGCGAGACAGCAGCGAGCTGCAACCTCAATGTTCTGTGAGGTGAGAATACAGAGAGTGATGTAACAACTGGTTCAGGTTAGAAGAAGGATCACCAACTCTTGACCTTTGGTGGTTGTCACTTTGTTATTCTTTAACAATAGGTCCGTATTTTGGGGTCAAAATGACTAACAGTCACAAGGAGCTTTGGCATAGCTCCTGCTGAGGCCGAGAAACAGAAAGTTAATGCTGCGGTGTCATCCTCAGGGTACACCTGTTTAAAGTACATCCTTTAAAAGTTCTTGTTTTTGCCACAGACAAGCTGACAGATAAAATTTCCAGGCACATTACATTTCACTATGAGTGAGATGCTCATTATTAATTCAGAAACAACAGCTGCACATGTCTTTAAAATCAATCAGACTCTATGACAAAAACAGTAACTCAAGCTCACAGAACAAAAGAGTTCATTGTCTTCCTCTCTTTAATAAGAGCATTTGGGTCTGTGTATTATATTCCTGTGCTGTGGTCTCTCTATCAAGACGTTTTGAGTGGGATGTGAATGTTTGGCTACACCTGAGTTTACTGCTCTGGTGTGCTCTCTAGCTGTCGACGTGGATAACTTCACTGAAACTGTTTGCTACCGCTTCTTTGTGCCTCTCCACATTCATTCACATGCAAAGCTGTGGTGTTAAAAAAACATTCCAGTGTTTCTACAGAGCACAATGACGTGTTTCTAACAGCTGCACATCCACAACAATGACTTATGAGAATAGTTTCATATCGGTTACACTACAAAATTAAGATATAAAAAGTGTTTTGTTTTTGTTTTTTTCCAAATATTTCGGCTCTGATGCTTTTTTCTAATCTGCAGGTTCATACTTCAGGCTTCAAAATACAATTTACAGCTCATGCATAATGTAGAAAAGTAAATATGACAAGTTTAACAGAGGATAGAGGTATCCCCTTTCTCGTAAGTCCCAAGCAGAGAAATGGCCTTGAGAGTGGTTTTCAAATGACAAATTTACTGTAGTGTTTTGACTTGTCATTAGTACTGAAGACTTACCTGAACAAGAATCATGTTCAACTTCCCAATGTACACCTTTTCTTTCTACAAAGTAAAGATAAACAACAGATTAATTGATGAAAGTCAGCATAAGATGAACATTCACCGGAAGTTCATGACACCATGCAAAAAACTGGAGTATGAATAAACATCTTGAAATAACACAACACAGAATCAAAAATTCAACAGAAAGAGAAATTAAAAAAACATGTTATGACGTCAAGAAATGGGGCAGAGGTTAGGCCCAGTGATGAAGCCGTGCCCCTTTATAAACAGAGGCTACAGTCCTCGACCTGGTGGCCCCTTTCCTGATGCCATTTTTCCTCAGTCATGTATTTTCTGCATGTAGCCTGACAGTACAGCTATATCTACATGGCAGAAAGAGACCTCCAATTTGTTGGACACATGCAAAGCAAGCTCTGAAAATGTGCTAAGCAGACATTAAGTCATGTAGAGAAAGGTTCAGACTATTCACTGGAGAATTCCTGCAACAAGAGAACTGAAAAAGGCTCCCAGTTTTCTGTTTACTCGCTCTCACTGAGAAAAATAAGCATGTCCACACAGTCTGGTGTCAGTCGGGAGTGCAACCAGGTCACAATCAGTGCAGTGGCAGAAAACACACGTTCAGATGGCACCGATGATGCTGATATGCAGGGATACTGGCATGCCAGCTTTGCAAGTTTGGGGAATCTCTCTGCAGTCATTTTCTGCCAGTGTATCAGCTTCATATCCAAAGGTGAAGTAATGTTGCACAAAAGTTCTACACTCTGTTTTCGAGCTGTACTGTGTTACTCCCCCAGAAAGAAAGACCATCACACAGATCTGGGGCCGAGCTGGAGCCCCTAGCTGCCGAGCGTCTCTGCTGGTTGCAACACTTTCAGCCTGAGTGTTTAAAATTGTAAGACTGCCATAAAAGCTGTATGTAATATGAGACCACATGTTGTTTACCTCTGCCTGATGAAATGTATTTGTAAGTTTCTTCCCGCCTAACAATCAATGTCTTTTTAATCTTTGTGCTTTTTTTACTTTTATTTAAGCCTTTGAGAAAGAAAAGCATCTTCAAAAACTTAATCAGACAAAACTTGCATCATGTCTTCGTGCTCTGAAACTATTGATATGAAAACAACCCTCTACCTCAAATAACCACTTCCTCTCTGGGATCTCTTTTGTGAATGGTAAATTCTATTCTTCAATAGAAAAGCAGGCTGTTGTACTAATGAAATTGTCATGGGCTTGTTTCAACAGAAAATTTGTTTGTGACAGAAATGTCACACTCATTTCCATGCACTAACTGAAGTAAAATCTAGATTCAACACTAGTTTATAACTGAAGCTAGGCCTGGGCAACTTCATGCACTCACATTAACAACATGACGTACTTTGATGTCACATTTACTGAATATACTGTTTATATGTAAAGGCCATACTAGCGAAGAGAGGCCAACCACAGAGACTTTCTGACACTTTCTATTATCAGTAATGGGTTTGAATTCATTAGACATCAGTGCTCAGTCAAATCTGATGGCTGTGTTTGGACACTTACCTACCTCTTACACTTCTATGCAAGAAAACAATCCTCACACCTTACACCCTGTGGTTGTTTTTTTAGACAAGCTAGCAAAAAAAACACACTCTCAGGAGCAGCTGAAGTCACTGCTTTAGATTGGTAAACACAACATTATGGTCACTGGCGTTAGTCACGGCTGTCCTGAGATTGGCCAACAGGCCTGCCTGTTTACATGCTGCTCTGATGCCACATAAACCAATGAACAAAATGAGATCTATTTCACCTTGAAGATGCTTTTGTTTTAAAATTGAATCATTTTAACGCTGTCTGGACATAAATTGAACATTTTTTCCTTAGTGCTTAAATGTCATATAGTGGATTTTGCTTACATTCCCTTAAAATTAACCCTCAGATTAAGTGTTAATGTAAAATTGACTCACCTCCACATTTGATGCATCTGAAGAAGTCTTGATAATGAGACCAACAACATACTTTTTTATACCTGCAAAAACACAAAGAGAGAGAAAGAGTACCGTCAATGCGCAGCCACAAAACATGTAAATCCAAACATATCCCGACATGACAAATTGCCCAAAGCACATTACTCAGTAACCTAGCCTCAGTCCTCTGGCTCATAACTGGCTGAATCTCTTTCAAATATTTGGGGTTTAGAGAAACACAACACAGTGTGGTCTTTCATGTACAGACTGAGGCAAATTCAGTTTGTAAACACATTGATTGGGGCTGCAGCTGTTACTGAACTTCTGCAGGGGAAAAAAGTGGACCAGTTAAAGTCACATTTCCCCAGTTGTTCTTAAGAACAATCAAGAATGTCTGAGCTAGCAAAAAATAACTGCAAAAAAATGTTTTTTTTTCCTCAGCTTTAGATTTTATCAGTTCTGAAATGTTGGTCTACAGATGCGCCTGTCATAACTGTGGGAGTATAGACATGAATGCTGGTGGTCCTGCACAGACTTTGCCTCTCAGGCACCTCATTTTTGTTCAAGTTAAGTGAAACCAAATGTCAATTTGCTAATCATGGCAAAGTTTGGTGAAAAAGAGGTACTATTATTACCTTTTTTGTCACTTAGTTATCTACATCCTATACCCTGATTTGATTGATTCGATATATGGGTACTGGTGAAATGCAGGGGGGGTATTCAATTTCTCTTTTTCAATTTCTCAGTAGGTCATAAAAAATAAACTCCCAAAAAATTAAAAATATATGAATAATGATAAAACATGATATACAGTTAAGGTAAAGTTAGTGTAAATGGCAATACTTAGCAACATCCAGCAGTCATATTCATCGGTTTAATAAACCAATGCTACTAGTTTTCTGGTTTTTACAGTAATTGAAGAAGAGTGGAGGGGGTAACAATGAGAGGATTTGCACATATTCAATTAAATGTGTTTTTCCCAAGTATTGCACATCCTTTACTTTTGGAGAGTATGGTTGGGCAACAGTTGTCAGACACACAAGTGGAGCCAAAACCAGGTCAGCCTCAGGTGAAAAATCCACTCATCATCTCTCACCTCAGTTTCTTTGGTAGAGTGCACCCAACCATGCTTTCATGGTAATGAAAACATCAAATAAATGTTTCAGATACCATAAAACTGAAAACAGCAACAAACAACATAACTGTCAGTTGTAGATGGTAACAAAGATAATCAGACATCTGTTGACAACCAGAGAAAACAAGGAAACACTGAGACGTGTAAAAGAGGAAAAAGTGGACGGCAGAATCTCAATACCGTAACTCTAAATGATAGCAAAGAGCACAACGGTCATTCATGCTTTTAATCCAAACATCTTTAAAAACTTTGTTCCTCCACAGGTATTTATGGCCCTACTGTGGGAGATCTTTTTTTAAATTCTGACTCCTAGTGGTAGTTTTACAAATCCCACTGTGCCAGGATCCTGTTGTGCCAGTAACCTGTCTCTCTTTCCCCTACATGTACAATAAGATTAATGGTCTGAAAAAAAGAAACACTGGGGTTTTTCTACGAACAAAAACAGGCTCATTCTGAGCCTTTTAAAAAGTTACCATCACATTAATATTCCACACAAGCACCCGAAACAGACACAGTAATAACTTTCACCAAAGTTCCTCGACTTCTACACAAAGCTTTAAAAATCAGTGCTGGGAGTTTTGGTCGTTTCCTCTCTAAAACAGCTGCCACAGTCCAAAGCCCAACCTGGCTTGCAGCGGCCAGCGCGAGCCAGTCGTGCAGAAAACAAACCAGCATGCCTAGTGGGGGGAACCCTTCTCGACTTGGCAACCGCACGTCACAATACTTAAAAAGGCACTCACACAAATAGAATTCATCTGGGATTTATACCACAAAATGCAGTTTTACCTTCACACTGATTCCTGGGGAGAATCTTCCATCTTGTTTTGATAACCGTTTCCAGAATCTGAAGAGCATAGTACTGTAACATGCAAGGAGAGACAAGCATTAGGACAAAGCTTTATTTAAAAACACTCAACAATAAGCATTGTGTAATTATAATAGGAACCAAAACAAGTATGAAGTAGACCAGTTTGTTATAACTTGCATTTCTAAATTGAATTGGACTGAACCACATCTTTCATGCAGATTTTGAAGTAGTTTTGCAGAGCATTCATTTGTTGTTTGTTTCTTAGATCTCTAAAAGCAGCATTAAGCTTGAACTCTGCAGAAGTCCTGCTGTTTCTCCCAGCATCACACCAGACAGCAAAAGACGACTAAAAATACAACAATCCATTAACCAGCTTTGTCTCTGATTGCTCTAAGGATGAGTTTGATGCTCTAGAGAACTTAGTAATGTACTTTTTATAAATGCTCTTTCACTCATGCTGCACTCACTACAGGTTATGGGGTTGGGCATCGAGAACTCTATCTGAAGTGAACAGGTTCCAGTTTTGATTAACTCAAATACTGATATATTTTAAAAAGACTGAGACTGTTTACGAACTTTCCTGTGTGACAGCATAACAGTGGAGGAAATTTCAGAGAAGTTCTACATTCAAATGCAATCACACCCGGAGTCAGTACAGCTGCGTATGTCACAACGACTGATGCCTTTTGGGTGGCAGGGATATAACGCCATAGTGGATTAGTTGGAGTTTGTGCGAATAACAATTAAACAGTACTTAATTTTACTGATAATATTGCAGTAAAGAAAATATGCATGCATGGTATGCAAGACATCTGGCTCTTGCATACTGAGATTTCTAGGATGGATATCTACATATGTTACACCTTGTCAGCAAATCGTAAAGCACAAATGTGTGATTGACAGTCATTGTGTTTCGGATTCTCAGAGGCAATAACAGAGTCGGAATAGAGGGAGACGGTGACAATGTTAAGCTGCTGAACCACCAAAACGTTGACCACGCTGTGTGTATGTGCATATCTGAGTTTGCTTGTAAGTGGCGCACCCACGGTGTGTTTAAAAGCCATACTTCCCACATTTCTGGCACAGTCATGCAATATGAAATTACACACTTGGACACCAATATTACACTGTTTTAGGGTGCCCTGTGTGTGTACTATGGCATAACCTTGTTTCAATACTGTTGCGGAGTTGCAACGTGTAAGAGGTTACTGAGACTAGCACCTGTAAGGGCCTGTTTGGAGGAGAACGGCACAATCAAAAAAGAAAATATTTCACAATTTTAAAAAATTGTTTTTTTATTCCAAAGTTGTGAAAACAACCCTCATAAACACAAAAAAAAAAAAACCTAAAAACCGCTACCAGGACAGGAGTTGGCAGCTTCACTTCACTTCATGATGAAACACCACTGAAGAACACCAAGCGCTGCACACAAATACTGTTTTCTACAGAGATCGGTAAAAACAAACAAGAACACGGTGACAAACATTAAATCTCCTCTTAGCTGGAGAAGCATTGATTAACTCAGCAGCACTAACACAACTTAATGTTCCATTAGTGTAGTTATTGCCCTATTTGCGTATTGTTATATGACTGTGTTCGTAAAACTCTAAGAAGTAGAGTTGTAAAATCACAGTTTTCACAGAATACCTATTTTGCCAGTTTACGCAGTGCCAGAAGGAACAGCATTTTGAAAAGGTCCTGGTTTTCCAGTTTTCAGCCACCTGAAAGGCTGTTTTCGTGTGTTGGAACAGCCAAACGCAACAATACTTTAACATTTTTGACTAAATTCACTTGTAAACAGCCCTTAAGCTCTATTTAGAAAGCCCAGTGGCAATTTATTTTGTGTAGTTTTATTAAAACTACAAAACGAGTCACTGCCAGGGGGTTTCATTTTTGGTACGCAACAGTGAAAGTAGGATCTCCGGCAGCAACAAAAGTGAAAATTAGACCCCACCAGCAAAACAAGATACAACTCTGTGTAAGAAGCAAACATGTCTAACAAAAAAACGTAAATATCCTGTACTATTCATGAAACACAGCTCCTCATGACAGTCTACAATATTTGAAAATTTAAGTTGCTTTTTTCTTCTTTCTGGACAGGCATTGAGTATGAACCTGATTCAATAAACAAAAAATTCAAATGAATAAAGGTCATCGATACCCAACCCATAACCGTGAGAGTTTACTTTTCCATCACCGAACAATAACGTATCACTTAAGACTGACTTAAACTTCAATTTGATCCCTTTAACTGGTGTGTTATAAGGAACAGCAAGACCAACCACAGGTTATGCCCTATTTGTTGCATCAGATTGCTTAAAAGTGAAGCATGAAGAGAAACAAAAATGAATTAATAAAAAGAATATTTGATTTTTTTGGATCTAAAGTTACTCCAACTGACTGTTTCAACTGTAGGGATCATCAGTTTAACAGTATTCAAATCATAATGAATGACATGTAGTAAAAGATGTTATTAAAGCAGGATTTACAATGTGCTAGAGACGATGGGACGCTGGAAGATTAAAGGTGAAAACCCCTTACAAGCACACTCGCTGCTCACTATTGACAGGTGTCACGAGTGCTGCATTTGTTCTTCACATGTTTGGTTTCACCTTTAACTGCCACAGTTTAAACAAAACCACCACAAGAGGTAAGAGGAGGAAAAAAAACTGCCAAGTGCTTTGCAACTTTTTTAGCTGTCGAAATCACATCATTAGAGGGTCTTTGCTGAGGAATAGTGAGGAACAGGGGGGAGAGGAGGAAGAGGATGCACTGTAAAAAAAATAATTTAAAAAAAGGAAGAAGGGGTGGGAACAAAGCCATGATCCCTACAGGTGAAATTAAGCCCTAATCAGATTGTCTCACTACAATGGATCTGACTGACTGCAGCCTGCACCCTCCCTCTGTCCAATGAAACAGATGCAATAGAAACGGATGAACAGAATTCAGTCAAAGGGAATTTAAAAAGGGTAGACCTTGTGGAGGCCTGCCGTCAAAGCCTAGCTGTGTCATGATGCACAGGATGACACACCCCTTCTCTTCCTATTACAAGCCATAAACATAATGGAACATTGTGATTAATATCAAATAGTCACAACTTGAATTCATGACATTTTTCATATTATATTATCACTGCAGTAGCTATGAAAGAAAGCCAAATGCTCTTAGTGCCTTGAAATTATGCACCTTTTAAACTAATGAAACAAGATAAATGCAGAATTCAAGAGGTGTTTACCTTGTGCTCCCTCTTTTCCTCTAATGCCCTTTTTGGCAGACTAAAAATTTAAAAACTAGAAAAAAGTACTGTTGATACATCAACTTAGACATTAGTCATGAATGTCAGTGTTAAAAGCAATCTTATAGGCAAGCAAAAAAGAAAAAAGGCCAATGTCAAGGTGTGTGCTTTGAGGAAGTCAGGAGTACTTTGGACAATCACTCAATTTTCTTGAGCCATGAGTTACAGACCGGGCTCTGTTATTGAAGCTCTCCGTCATTTTATGTTGTTACAATTACGAATCTCTGCATGTATCTAAACACTAAATCGCTGGGTTCACTGTGCTTTATCAGCTGGTTCAGTACACAGGGAGGGCAACATGTACACTTATCAGGAGTCATAATGCGGAGGCTAACTCAATCTGACAGCTGCAATAACAGATAAAAAGAGCTTGTGGTAATTACAGTGTTTATGGTTAATTATTAGTACTTTGAGGGTGTTAAGTGAACAACAGGAAATATACATTACAGTCCACTGTTAAAACTTTTAAACTTCTATGTAAATGTTTTTAGCAGCTGGACATGATTTATGGAAAGAGTTTAGTGTCTATTTGTGCTTTTAAATGTTATTAATGAAGGAGTTATCGCAGCATCCTGCACACTAACAGAACCTCAGATCATGTAGACATATGTATACATCTAACAGGTGAGAATATTTGGGCAGTCTGTACTACTTTTCTACATGAGCTACTTTTCACTGGTTAAAAAATGGATTGCGCTCTCATTGACTTAGGGCTGTCACAATATATCCATGTTCAAGATACCTATTGTTTTATTTTAATGAAGTACTGATATTGTGCAAAATAAAAGCAATATTGAACCCCATTTAAGTGGCCCAGATTCGAGGGTGGTCGTGGTTTTTAATGCTGGATGATAACTGCTATAAAAAAGAGAGGAGACTAGGAGGAAGCAGGAGCAGCTGCTAGTGCGCTAGCTGTAGCAGCCATCTGGAAGATGATCAGACACTTAAAACTGATGTTGAGATGTGCTGTGAATCAAAAGAAACAATGGGGGAACTAATAAATTAAACAACTGTTTTTTTAGCTGTCATCAATCAGTTCCTAGACTTGTGATCTACCAGCAGTTATGTATACTCTATTTCAAAATAAAAGCATGTATTTCACAATACATGAAGTAAAGCTACCTATAGGCACAACTGAAGAAACGTGAAAATAAAAGCATCAAAAATATTTATTGTGACACTCTTGTTACGGGGATGGGGACCCAGAAAAAACACATCTTTAGACATCATGAGAAATAGATGCTAACATGTTTATGAGTTTTTAAGGTAATGTGCTGCTCTCCTCTCAGTTTGCCTTTGATTAATATGACTTTGTTGCTTTTTTTAAACTTCATATAAATATCACAATAATACCATCATCAGGAATATTTAGGCAACAATAACTGTGAGGTGAAAATGAGATATTGTGACAGCCCTGCTCTAAATGTTTGGTGTCTTTTAACCTACAACATTGAAAACAAAAACTGAAAGTCTTTGAGGTGCTTATCAGTTAGAGTTTCATCTGGAAGTTCACTGACTGACAAAGCTCACGCCCAGCGTGATTTAGTTTTATATTATTTATTTCTGTTTATATATGAAACTAATTTGTTAGATCGCGCATTAGTCACATTTTAAACTATTAACATGTTCTTGATGAGGGACAAAAGTGGCTGAAAACATGCACTTGCTAGAGGACAGAAAGAGACTTGTGTTGCTGCTAACCCCATATAATGAAGGAACTGGTGCATTGAATAAATCATCAGGGATTTTGTCATCAATATGATTTAGAAAAAATGTATGTGTCTTCATTACTTTAATTTTAAAGACATGTTAGATTTTTACCAACAGGTTCAGACCCTACAGATTTAGCTTGATCAGGTGTACAGAGTATCCTGTACAGGTAAGTATTGTTGGGGACCATGTGCATCTTTTCAACTTACAGCTACTAACTTCTCACAAAATATCATCTTTTGATGGTATCTGAAGCATATTGTTTTCAGGTAAACCACTGTGGTTTGATGTTTTGGCTTAATATTCTGCCAATTCTATTCTGTTGGGCTAACACTTCCTCAAAGCACATGTAAGGGACATTCACTGATGTTTTCTGGACAGGAGCGAACTTACTTTGGTGTTCATATTCTGTGAGAACTCAAGGATGGTGTCCACTCTTGTCCAGGCATCTGGGTGCTCTTTTAAGTGTGTCAACACTTCCTGTGCCATTCTTTGCTGTAAAACATACAGATCACACTTAAGGATCAACACTGACATGTGAGGAAGTGGTATTACAAAATAAATCTGAAATCAGGAGAACATTAACTTTCATTTAGATATATTTGTGGGTGTTTTAAGAACTTACATACATTAGACTACTGTACGACATTGATAAGTACATATTTTTTCCTTTAGTTTAAGGCATAATAGTGTTTGACATCGACACTATGTACTGTGTATCAGGTGCCTTATAAGACATTTGTAGGTAATTCACAACATACCTGTGGTCCAACCCCATGGTATAGACAGTTCACCACATTATCCAGCAGGTTGATATCCAGTTTCTGGTTGAAGTCCAGCAGCTGCTGTGCTGCATGGTCTGCTAACATTGTCATAATTGCTGGCATAGAGCTCTGCAAGGAGGACAGCAGAGAGAGGGGGTCATGAGTACGCAGAACACATTCAACGGGGCAAAGTCATGTGAACTGTGTGTTTAGAAACAATTCCAAACAGCTGACCACTAAACAAAAGACCCCCTAGACCCACCAGAGAGCTGTCCTTTTAAGAAGCTCATGTGTCACAACCTGTCAGTATTCAAAAACTACATAAAAGAGGAGACTTAGTATGCCTCTCTCTGTCACTGAAACATGGTAAATTATTGGAGGCCTCACTTTGGTCCACTGGTGGGGTCATGTTTTTAAAACAGGGACTCATGCAGCAAAGACGAAAGAACTATTTTCCCTCTAGCTAATCTCAAAATTTCAGTTCAGTGTTTTTTTTTACTGAGGATAAAGGACATTTGCTGGACTTTTTTCCACATTCTCTTTGAAAAACCGGCTGACAGTGATTTGTAAACATTTGGGCAGTGTTGGGCAGAAACACGACTACAAATGGCAGAATTTGTAATTCAACTTCATTTCTCTATAGCTTAGTGGTATCTTCACTGTTTTCTGAATTTAACTACTTATAAATGCCTTAGCAATTTTCCTAATAGAATATTGTAGTTATATCTATATAAACTAAATGTTAGCGCACCAACGTTAAAGCACAGCAAAGTGTTCTACTGCAGATATAGCAGAATAGCTAAGGCTAGGTGCATCATGCAAACCAAATCACAGACAAGTATTTGTAGCAGACTCTCAACTTGAGTGATGTTACTGTCTGATTTTTCAATCGATGCTGGTAGCACCCCAGTTTCTGGCTAATGTGCTAACAGGCAAATTGAGTTCACCTGACAGGCACACACATAAAGGCAATTCCTAATAATCTATGAAGTTTAACAGTGTGGTCTATAAACATTAGCTATTAACGTATAAAAGTGAACCAGGACACAAAGGAAGGGAAAACTGGTACATTTACATGCACATTTATCTTAAGCTATAGTGATATCTGGATGAGGCAATTTCATTTGAATACTGTCCTCATCTCAGCATGAGAGCACCACGTGACAATCAGTTTCTTGACAAAAGTGTCTGCCTCACGCAAGTGGAAATGTGCCCCCCTTTCAGCAAAATACCACTGTACTTTCTTTGACCTGTTTTACATCACATGCCAAAACAAACGCCAAACAAGTTAGCAAGCGGCAAAGTGGTCATATGTCCAATGGCAAAAACATGGACAGCTAATCACCTCTGTACCTTTCGTTAACATGGTTTCTTTCACTCTCTTCTTCTGCTTTAAAGATTTTTTTACTACCCTGCGTCCTTCTATGCTGTTTGACCTACAGGTTAAAGCCTGGCGTAAAAACTGTGGGAAATGCACAGAACACCTGCATCAGGTTGAGGCCAATTGAGTTGTATCCATGTAAGGGAAAATTGATTTTCAATTATCTAGATTTACCAGTCTGGCTTTAAGAAGTTCGGTTTTGTACAACATCAGTCACACTAACATGTCAGAACATATCCTGAAAGTCAAGTGCGAATCAAACTAATGCAATAAACAAACATTTTATAGCAGAGAAGTTGAGCTTCAGATGAGTTTAAAACAAGCCCAGCAAGAATTGACAATTGATCGATCAGCGTCAACTTTGGGGTATTTTGTAAATCTAAAGAACCACACGCCATTTCTATTCAGCTGTGATCTAAAAGGAAGAGATGGAAGAAGTGCTTGGAACTACCAAGACATAAAACATTGTTTTAGCTGTCAGAGACATTGGTCAATGCCAAGATGGGTAAACCAATACTATATGTCATTTATTTACATTACTTATCCGGTATATGACTTATAAATTCAGCATAGTGGGTCATATAAACATTAAGAATGAGTGGTGACTTGAAATGTTTTTTTAAATTAAAATTTAAAATCATAATTAAAAGACATGTAATAAATGAAAAAGCTTTGATTTAGCAAGCTGTCTCTGCTATTTTGATACAGCTTTACTTGTTGCATTTCCATTGAAGGCAGCTTCAGTTTAATGAGGCTGGTAATTTGGCACACAGCATTTTACAAGTCAAATTGCCATTATCACATTGTCTTAAAGTTAGAAAAGAGTACAAAAATCTTCCACTCGTGTGTAGGAACAGTTACTTTAAAACAGATTGTCAGTGTAAATTAAGCTACCCGTCTGTAAATCTACTCAAGTGAAAAGTACTCCATGTAGGTGTAGTACTAAGTACTTTGAACACGAGAGTGTGGGCTGTTGAAGTGAAGTATGCCCCATAATTATGAAAAAGGATATTTTCACAAGCTAATTGTTGTGATAAAACCAAAGGCCTTCTTGTTAGAATAGGTTTTAAAGCTGCAGTTATACTTTATTTAAAATGTTTTCTATCTTTGGTCACTTTTTGTCACAAAAATTAACTTGAAATAAGGTACAACACAGGTCTAGATTTAAATCTTATTTTGATCGTTATAAAATATCTTCAGTGAAATGGAGCTAAATTTGCTGGGTGAAATTTTTTTGCTTTTTGCAGTTCAAGTGTGTTTTTACATTTTTCTACACATTTACTGGTGTCATGTAAAACGTAGCAAAATAAAACTATTTGTAAAATAAACACTTGTGTAAACAATTATCAAAAAGTAAAAATGCACAAAAATCAAATAAATCACAGTAACCAGAGTGACTGCAATCTGAAATTTTTAACCCCCAGCATTCAGATTGAAGTGGAGTCACTTCCCCATAATTATTAAAAACTGCTGGACAGTAGAAACAAACTCAGAAACCAGAAAACAGTTAACTTGTACATGCATATTGCCAACTCAACTCCACTAATGAAGGACTTCTTTTAACACCATATTAAGATAGTTACCAAACCCACGTGCCGAATATACTGAGCGACGTCACGTTGTTTACATCTGTAACTGACGGAGCACACTCCTCCAAACACAGTCAGCAAGGCAAATGACAGGCTTGGGGTTAAACTTCCTAAATAATGAATGCAGCTCATGCCTTTGTTGACAATTACTAGTGCTGAATGTAATGAAACCCAATGTAAACAGAGCGCACGCGGCCGTAGTATACTTCACACAACATGCTAACATTAGCAGGCGCTCATGCTGTACTCCTAGCTTTGCAGTTAGCATTGTGGCGCACAAACAGTTCACATGTGGTGCTTCTCTGCTGACTGCAACCACTCCCACCGAGGAGACCAGAGACTGAATGCTCCCGTACACGAATTTCTCTGTTATTTTTACAACGCTGTTACTAGAAGTTGACGATTCGGGCGGCTGTTTCACTCCATGCAGGCAGGGACCGGTGTTTCGTTTAAACAAGTGACCCATGTAAACTGACGACTTTGGTTCGGGATGCACCGGAGGTTGTCGTAGTTAAAATAACTGTAATCTCGCGCACCTTGTAACTACGACAACCAACGACGCGTTCAGTTGATAGTCACCAGTTAACATGGTCACTTGATTAACCGTACCACCCGCGCCGGTTTGGCGTAACAGTTACGCTTTTCTGATGCAGATTAAGTTAACGTTGGCCACCGCTAAGTACCGAGCAACATCAACTTAACATCCGCTCACATCACGGACTGTAGTGATGCTGCTGTGGTGGGAGAGGCACGGATTTAATCACACAGCGTTTGCTTACTTATTCAACCGTGTTGTCACCCGTTACAGGATGCAGCTTCGGTTAGTTGTGCCTTTAGTTTGGATAAGTTACAACACTTTCATTGATAGCCAACGTTAGCTAATCCTGATAAAGTGGTAAACGCTAGCTAGCGGGCAGTCGAGGGCTATTTTCTTATGCTGCTGGTGCTATTTCAAATTAGCTGAAGAGCGCTAAAACAGACAACAACTACTGTACTATAACACACTAAATACCAACACCGATATGCAATTTATTGTCCTTAAAGGTAAAGTTAGGATGCGTTCATCACAGCAAGGCAGGTTTGCACTTCACCCCAGTTACCTACCTAAAGTCCAAGGCTCTGACTGAAAAGAGTGGCGTTTGCCAAAGAAGCTACAAGATATTGTGAGTACTTGAGTATCACTGATGATAAGAAAAAGATTTCCTATTTCTGCAGCGTTGACTCTATCTCCAGCTCCAGCAGTGAGGGATGTCTGGCTGCTAGGAACCACTGATGTGGATTCAAAAACTACTATCACGGCAAACCCTGCAATATGTCTCTCCGGTACATTTTACGAAACAAAGTAAACCTTAATTCACTAGTAAATTCGTTACTCTAATAATTTTCCAGCGGGGCGGTGTAGAGGTTGTGTGCCTGCGCCTCCTCTCCTCTCTCAAGCAACTAACTCTCAACCGGTTGAAACCGGTTCAGACTGGGAGATTCCATCTCGGTTTAGTTTTCAGCCGATGGCGCCGCGTAAAGTTTGGACTGGGGTAACGCCCACTCTGCGCTGTGATTGGCTAACGCTTCAGCGAAGACCTCCTCCTTGGTGTCTTATTGAATGATTGACCTGTCAGTTTATTTCAATTCGCTCAAGCGCCCACGCGACTACTCCGCCCGGAGAGAAAAAGAGGGCAGACTCCCATGCAGAATGGACTTGTACATGACTTCGCTTATCAGAATAGAGAATAAGTAAGCGACCACTTCTTAGTGCTCCTCATGACGGTTAAGTTATACATTACCTGTACTAATGTATAAGCAGCATAGCATTTCCGCACGCGTAATACAAAAACCGATGCGTAAAACCAGTGCCATTCAATGATTTTATCCACTCAGACTCCCTGCAAATACTGCTCTACTTCTCTGCAGAATATATCTCCAAAGGACAATGCCTGTGTCATGCAGGTACACTTAAAGGTTGAGTGATGTGATGAACCGCAAGTACCATTCATTTGCCTGTTGCTTGTAAGCTGGTAATTTTCCACCAGCCACGAGTGGGAGTGGTTACATGATCATGAACGCACGGGGTTAGAAAAACGACCTGAAGGAGAATTTGTCTCCCGAATGGGCGACACTGAGAAAGTGAAGGGTAGACTTTGTAAATATAATGTGTCAATAATGCAGGGACGCGAAATGTGAAGACGCCGTCTCTGTTTTGCTCATTGGGAGCTGTGTAGAGCGTGCACTACTGTCAATCGAGGATGCAAACATGACAGCGTTTTTTTCTCCTTTGTGGTCACGTGGTCCAGCGCGCTACTTGATGGAAAAATACTGGGTTTGGTGTGTGTAGCGGAGACAGTACACAACCCAGTAAAGTCATTCAGGGAGGATTTTTCGAAGGGCGTTTGTATCTTTACCCAGCAACACTGTCTACCTCTAATTTCTTTATGTTTCTTCTGCTTTTAGAAACATGTTTGCTCCCAGTTTATGGTATTTGAATTCCCTCTGTTTCTGCAAAGTCATCTCATTTCTGTTATTCTGTCCAGCTGGAATTGATTACAAAGCAAATATCAGTTTCATGTTTTAGTCAACTTGTGACTAAACCTGACATCACTTTACTTGTGTTGTAGCCTACTGAAGTGGCTCATTTAATATTACAACTAGAGCATTTAATCATCTACAGCATGTGCTATAAGCTTCCTATGCATGCAATAATGCAAAGTAGCTTTACCACATGATACTTGAGAGACCGTAAACTCAGATCTGATTTTGTTGGATAAAAGATCAACATGCATACAATTCCATCTCCACGTACAGTAAGTTTTTATAAATGCACAGTTGGAGTGTCACTGTCCTTGGATCAGCCTCACACCCCAGACAGTTGGCCTATATCTGAGCCTTTGTTGTTAGCAGACACATTTTCAAAGCCTATTATCTATGTGTTGGTTCGTGGATGCATTTAGTTCACTCTCCATGCTTCCACACTCTTAGAATCCCTTAGCCCTAGAAAAAAAAAGTTAACACATCCAGGACACAAAACTGGTCAGCCAACTTTTCAGGAATACAGCAGTGTGGGAAGTTCAGCTCAAGCTTATACATAACCTGAGTTAAGTGAAAAACTAATGCACAATGGGTCTTTTTTTTTTTAACCCTTGTTGTTTAGACAGTTGTGGTTTATTAGTTGCATAAACTGTCTGCTCAGTTTCCCACACTAGTGATATTGTAATATGATTAAACCTTTTATATTGCGCTTTGAGTACTGCCAGTGACTGTTCCCCATGCTCTCTGCAAGTTGTGGGTGATGAATAAACATGCATTTTATATTACATCACCTGTTTGAATACACCCACCAATTGAGTGTTGGCTCAAGGTTTTTAACCTGCAGAAAGCATCAAGTATAGTCCCTGTCAGCACAGTAATAGTGATGAAGAAAGTTAACCTACTGTACATGTCTTGTTAAAAAAGTGACTTACTAAAAGGTAGTAATAATAACACTTAGTATAGTTTTAAATAACAAAAATAAAAGTTGACTTGCATTAAAAAATGACAAACATTGAGTGTATTATATGCAGCAGGCAGAGCAAAACAACAGTTTCACTTTTAGCAATGCCTCTGAATGTACAATACTTTATAAGTTAAAAGTTGTCTAATACAATTACAGATAAATACAGTGCTGTGAAAATCATTTCATTCAAAGGGTGATGTGGTTTAACCTCCTCCAGGCTCTCTCTCAGTCAACAGATCTGAGCTGTGACTGCAGTGCTGGAATTTATTGTTACACACGTGTGAAGTTTGGAGGTAAGCAACCCCAGTCAGTCAGTCTGACACAAGCTGGTTGAATCTCGTTCTGTCTGGTTCGGGCAGTCCATTTACATGCATTATCATTGCACCACACTGGGGAGCTGACCTCCATGGAGCAATCAGCCACAAAGAGAAAAACTTGAATTTGTTGTGCTCGCTCATATGTTGGCCCAGTGTGCTTACACTGAAGATGAAGAAATGAGAACTCGTGCACAACCTAAGATGAATCACCAAACTAAAGTTCACATGACAGTTTCATTTCAGTCCTCTTGGATTGTTAAATAAACACCTGCTTATGCTTGTTGATATAAGGTGAAGGAAGTTATAATTATCATAATGTTATAATGAGTTTCAATAACTTAAATGCTTTGTGATAATCCTTTTAAGTCCATTCTTTAGTCAAGACATAAACAAATGACAGAGCCAACCTCTGCAGCTGAAGTCTTTGAAGCAACTGCATGTTAAATGTGATCCAGGTGCCCCCTCTGCTGGGCAAATGGGAAACATGTTTCAATGAGACCATATTCAACCAAAGCTGTTGCAAAACTGTTTAATAAAAATACACAGAACAAACCACCCAAAGCACAATCGTAAAAACTTACCATGTTGAACAAACATAAATAAGTTTTACTGAGCATAAAAACAAAGCAAATCTAAAAAGGTTAAGTGATTTTAAAAGCATGAACAAAGAAAAATTAAAAATCAAAGCATTATTTTACTAAAAGTTGGAATGAAAATTTGTATCGATCCACATTTTCAATCAAGTTTAGAGCAACTCATGATAAAGCATGCAGGTAACACATACAGGGGGAATTTAAGGATTTATATGGACAACATAAATGTTATAACAACAATAATGGAGAGGTTTTGCCAAGTGTATTGTGTGATGCTGCAAAATCAGTGATCAGAGGAAAATTCATAGCGTATACATCACAAAGGAAGAAGGAAAGACACAAAAACCTAGCTGATTCAGAAGAAAAACTTAAAGTTTTAGAAAGAGAACATGTTAAAGGTAAGGACCCCACATATTGACGGAAATAAAAGCAGCCAGAAAGGACAAAATTGAGATATGAGGCAGATTTAGGGAAAAAGCCAAATTTGCTAAGCAGAGATATTATGAGAATGGTCTGAGGGCCCCTAAGCTTCTGGCATGCAGGCTGGGAAAACAACAGGCATGAAGACCTTAAATTAGAGACCCTAAAACTAAAAAAGTGCGCCACAAACCAGAGGATATCCAATGCATCTTTGAAAATTACTATCGAGAGCTATACAGAAAACCAAATACAACTAGTCCACAGGAAATAAACACATTTTTAGATTCACTAGATTTTCCCTCCATAGGTGAAATCCAGAATGAAGCCCTAAAACCAGAGATTACAAAGGAGGAAATAGGGAAAGCAATATCTTGGCTAAAAGCCTATAAAGCACCAGGAACAGACGTTCTTCCTGCCAAATGGTATAAGACCTTTAAGGGTGAGATAGTACTCATACTTTATGACTGCTTTAACTATACACTCCAAGAAGAAACACCGCAAACATGGAGGGAGGCAATAATTTTGATTATTTATCAAGAGCAAAAGGACAAGAGAGAGTGTGGTGCATTCAGGCCAATTTCAATACTGAACATTGACTGTAAATTGTATGCGTCAATATTAGCTAAGATTAGAACACATTATACTGGAGCTGGTGGAGACCGACCAAACATGCATGACTGGCAGACGCAAGACAAAATTAGATGGATGCTGTATGTAATTGACCATGTTACTAAGGGAAATATACGGGCCATAGCAATTAGCTTTGATGCTGAGAAGTTGCTCGACTCAGTTTGCTGGGAGTACATGTACTTATATGTACAGATGGAGGAATCTGATGAGATATTTTGTAACACCTAAGCTAAAAAGTATGTGGATGGGGGAGGTGGGAGGGGTCTGTGTTGGAGTAACTGCGTTGAACAGCTGGCAGGCCATTTCCAAATATTTTGGGCATGTCCAGTCATTCAGTCATATTGGCAGGGGGTGACATGGGGATAAAGAAGGTGTTTGGTGTTGGAATTGACTGCTACTTTCCTGCAATCTATCTGGGAAATATCACAGCTCATCTGTTTGTGCAAGACAGGTATCTGTTAAAGTACTACCAGGGCCCAGCAAGGAAGCTATAAGATGAAAGTGGCTGCAGGCAGTTTCCCCCAGCAGTGACTCATTGGATAGATATTGTGAATACTATACAAACTATAGAGAGAATGACCTTCACGCTAAATCTCTGGGTGGATAAATTCCTGCAATACTGGGGAAAATGGATTGTTTTTGTTAACTCACAAGCTGCTGTTTGAGCCATTATTGTATGACATCTGAAATGTATTTCCATCACTGCAATAACAGAATGAATGTATACATGACCAAATGCTTCAACATGTTCTGTTGTACATTTGAGCATTTCTATAAAAATAAAGTATAAAAAAAAATTTGAGTAACTGTCTTTGATTTGATGGTTTAGGTATACATGCTCATTTTTCAAGGTTATATAAACAATTGACAAATAACCCATAAAATAGCGCTTTAGAACAGTGGTGGATACTAACCTGAACTGTGTTGTCTTTCTCAGCTGGGTGAACGTGTTTTAAGGTCTTCAGGGTATAAACTTGCAATCAAGGACTCATACTTTGCCCTTCGCAGACCTGCTGTATCTCCCTTAAAATATCCACCTGCTCTGCTGACCCAATCTTCTCAATTTCTATCTCTCAATTAAAGATAAACTTGTTTTTTTTGTGCGATTATACAGCTGCTAATATTTTGCAGCAATGAGGACTGAATTAAAACCACTGTAAAAATATAACTGGATCATTTAATAAGCAAGCCCACAGAGTAGTGGACACGAAGGTCTTGGAGGAAATTCAATAGTATTTGAATTCTAACAGTACCATTGTTGTGATACATTTTCAAAGGTGGCCAAATTATCTATTATGCTGCCCCTTCAGTGACGTACGATTCAAATCAGCTCAAATTTATTAAGAGAGCACAAAATGTAGAATTAGTGGTTGATGGCTGAGCAGTCACCATAAAAGAAAAGAAGGGGGAAACAGTGTAGACACCAGTGAGGGATATTAAAAATGCAAACACACTGAGCTTAATCAAGGAGACATTGACCAAATTGAAGAAAACAAACAAGAAGCAGTCACAAACTGTAACACAGAATTGGCTTTGTGTTGAAAGACTGGTTCAATTAGAAGAAAATGCCAAGAGAAGAGGGACGGATGCTAAAGAATATTAAAGGAAAAAACATTCCAATGTTTGGACTTTACACTGAATCTAAATTTAACGTTTAATGCTCATTCAACCCAAAAGCAGGCTGATAAGAGGCAAGCCAAATTTATTTATATCGCACATTTCTGCAACATGGAAATTCAAAGTGCTCAACACAAGACATTAAAAGAATCATTACAGAGGTCAGAAAAACACAATTTAAATCACAAAATTATTTAATTATTAATTATTAATTAATTATTATGGTTATTATTGAGAGGTGACATTTACATTTAAGTCCTCCATTAATAGGCTACTATTGTCATGACACATAGTTTAGAAAGATGGGATAACGTAGAAGAGGACTGGGAGCTGAGAGTTTTCCTTCCTCTTATCTACATGCCTGTTTTTGTTGTTGTTTTTTAATTTGCCCCTAACCCAAATTTCCATGGTTACCAATTAGTAGTATCTAAACACACTCACTGTTGCCATGCTGTAATACCAAATATTCAGGTGTTCAATATCAGAGATTTTCATAGTCAGCTGTAAATATAGACAATTGTCATGGACGCCTTGAGGTATTCCAAGTATGACCCTACAGAGCAGAACTACAATTCAAAGGTAAGAGTATGTGAATGCTCTCCTCACTGCACTCTAACAATGATGTCCATCAAATTTGGGTCAAAACTGAATGTTTTCTCTCCAGACAATCTACTTTTATCCACGCTCAAACAAGGACTTTTCTGCCGAAGATCTGGCCATCATTTCTTCCCCTTTTGGATGTGTTGTAAGTGTTCAGGTAACCACAAGTTTAGATTTCCATTTTTCAATTTTCACTTATTCTATTAAGAAATTTTGAGCACAAATAAAGATGGCATTTTTTTTCTCTTGCAACTCAGAAAATAGTACAAAATGGATGTATGCGTGGCCTGGTGACTTATGCTAACGCTATTGATGCTACTGTGGCTACTACTAAACTGGTCAACAACAAAGACTTTATTGTGGGTGTGCTCACACCTGAAGAGAATAGAGGGAGCAACAATGGAAGATCAGAGAGACCTCACAACCGGCCTGACTTTTTCAAACAAAATTGCACTAATAACATGTTACCACTGAAACAGCCCAACCTGAACATACTGAACCCAAACGCTTACAGTCAGGTAAAGAATCATATGATCTGGACTTTTTTATTTATATTTTTATATCATTTCTGTCAGCTCTGAGGTGGCTTAACTGCTGCTTTATATTCCTGTTTGTCAGTGTGTGTATGTTCGTGTTGACAACCTGCCTAGAAATGAAGCTCAAAGATACGAGGTGGTGAAGCTCATACTTCCAAGCTCGTGTTTTGTGAAGGTAACAACTCTCTACTTAAAGTGAAAAAATGCATCATTTATAAGGATGAACCTCAAATATGTACAGGGTTTCAACTGAAAACCCCTTATAAATGATGCATTTGATTTATATTCACAGCACAACTTTTAATCTCTTACTCTCTTTTCTTGATAGTAAGTTTAACCCATAACAGTTACCGAGGTGTGTTCCAAGTTTCAGACTCTGCTGTACAATAATACAACTTGTAATTTATTATAATAATGGCCCTACAGATGGAGGGAAGAAGTCTCTTGGTGATGATGCCAAATTTCTACTCAGCCATAATACTGAAGGACTTCTTAAGAAATCTCTACACTGGATCCAGACGCCTACATGTTTACGATGAACATCACGAAAGTAGCTCATTCTTTCACTTGTAAATGCTGAAAGGACCCCTGGGGCTCTAACATTCTGAGTCTTTAAAACAATAAACAATTATGAAACAATGTTAGAGCCAGACTTTATCCACTTACCTGCCAAAATTGGAGAAGCTCAGACAGCAGGATAAAGGAAGGTATGGTTCAAGTAAAGACACTCACAAGGATCAGATGAACTATTGAGGTTCAACAGCCTGATGACTAAAGAACTGAAAGATTTAGAGTAACTGTGTGTTTCCCTAACAGTAGCCTGAACTCAGAGAACAGAAGGGTGTTGTAATGAGGGGTTATTCCTTTAGATTTGAGACCACCTGCCTCTTCTACAAAGTATGCAAGTCTCTCAACTGGACTCCATTTTTTTAGAGCAGACCTTGGTGATCCTGTGACGGTTAAGCTTGTCTTTTTCAGACAGACAATACAACCAACAAATAAAGGACACAGTTCAGTTGTTTCCAGTGAAAGACTGAAAGACATCAAAGTTTTTTTACAGACTTTAAAGGAGTTCAAGTAAATTCTTTGTTGACCGCAAGTCGACAATCTCAACATCTCTGCATGAATAGAGCTTGCGAGAGTTTTTCCAAAAATCAACTGAAGTTCCTTTATTTTTGTGACGTGAAGGTCGAGCAAGTTTTCATCCCACCACTTATGAAATGTAGGGCACGACCATGGTATCTTTGAACCTTCAAAAAGAGACAAAAGTGCTGAATCATCAGAGAATTTCACCGGGTAGCTGCCCTCTTTACAAGACCTGCAGCCGTCAGTGCCGAGAATAAAAAGAAGGGGAGAAAGAAAACAGCCCTGAGGGGACTTGTGTTAGAAAGTAAAACATCTGTCATTAACTAAAATCGGCTGTTTCCTGTCAGTTCAAAAGTTTAAGAGGGATAATAAAAACTGATCAGGTAAACTGAAATAAGCAGACAGAGAGACAATCAATAAGACAGAGATAAACAGCCTGACCAACAACTACAATAAATAACGGCAACTAATGGCTATAGTGACAATAACAATATTAAAAAGCTAGTATCGTCTTTAACAAGGACTGTAATGATATTCAACTGGTGATGAAGTCATTCAGGTCCAAGAAGGCAGCAAGCTATCTGCAGTGACAATCCACAGAATTTTTTACCACAGAGCTTCAAATCCCACGTATATCTAAAGGGACACAAAATTATTGACACATTCAAAGACATTAAGGCATAAGGCTACATAAAGAAGCTGAGTTTAACACAATAGTTATGATTATAAACCCTATAACAATAGTAATTAATTTTCAACAAGTGACCCCAGCGAAAATCTGAGTAATGAAATCAGTCAGCAAGGAGTTCAGCACAATACCCCTCTCTGCCTGTTGACACTGTGACACTGTGGACATTCAAGCACCGAGATGAAGGAGAGCTGGATCAATGAATGTAAAAATTACCCTACACAATATAATGTGTCAACTAGAACAAAGAACCAATGGATAGACTGAGGATTCTGATTTGCGTCACCGCCCATTTACTAAATCCTCACTCACTTACTAAATCATCACCCAATGAAGATAGATTATAACATTCATGAATGGGATTTGATGATATAGTTAGCAACATGCATTAATGTTATATCCATGCATACATACACAGAAAGAAAGGAAGAGACAACAGCTCAGTGTGTCAGTAGTCTATAGTAGCGAGCAATGAAAGAGGAAAGTTTTGAGCCTAAACTCAAAAGTAGAGAGGGTATCTGCCTTCCAGATCCTAGTGACTCCAAAAGAGGAGGGTCTGATATTGGCCCTAGCCCCAGTACGACTTCGGAAACCTTGCAGGGATGCATACTTTACAGTGGCAGATTAGGGCCACTGAAAAAAAGGTCCAATATCATTTTTCAAAAATAATTATTTGGAGAAAAAAGTCAGGACTCTGAAATTAAAGTTAGAGTTCTGTGTTTAGTACATATTGGGGTGTTTATGTTTGTGTGGCTTGTTCTGAAAAACAGAGAGAGAGGCCTGGTGTGTTTGGTCCCTAGAGATCTTGTTAGTCAATAGGCCTACAGCAGCATGATTAGAGGGTGGAAAAACCAAGCCACCCTCTGTTGACTCTTTGTATAACAAAAATAAATCAATAAAATTTATGCCTACTTAGAAGAGATAGTATTTGCTTAAAGGATCTGTCTAGTAGGTAATGTCAAAGGTGAGCGGTTCGATAACCAAATACTTTAACTCCTAGACAACTTTTGGAGAGCACATTCCAATGTAATTGAAATTTCTTTTTTTTAACTGTTGGATTCAATGGTGTTCTTACTTTTATGGGCTAATAAACTCCAGTGTGTTAGGAAATCTATGTTACAGCTCTGTAAAAAACCTGGCACTCTGGTATTGCCTAATTTTATCCAGTACTGCTGAGCATGTGACACAGTTAAACTACACTTTTTGATGAATTGCCCCACTTGCCCTTCATGGGTCCTCCATCGCTGCACAGCTGCCTTTGAAAATACATGGTAGCTTTCCCAGTCCAGTTGTATTCAACTCACTAAAAATTTAAACATTTGGACAAAGTCTCGACCTTGGCCCACTTTACTGACCCCTTGTCCCCCCTTCCTCACCTTTCATGTTCGACATGACAGGGACTTAAAAGCCATCAAAGACCTCAATGAGAAAGGAGTTTTCACTGATCTCCACATACCTGCAGTGTCTGCTGCAATGGAAAAATCCAGGCTTGGGATCCTGTCTCTTACATGTTTATCCTTCTGAGGGATGAGGAGACACCTAAAACTAATTGAACATTTTTAACCCTCAAATGATTTCGTGTTTAAATGATTTTCAGGCTTCAAGCCCTGGAATTCTAAGCTTGTTTCCAAACTCTGAAACAAATGTCCTTGTGTGTGTGTTTTGCTCAATGCTGCCCATTCTGCTCTTCAGCCACAAGATGGACCTCTTGTACCTCAGACATAAATCTCAAACGCATAACAGCTGAAATGATTTGACATTTTGAAGTGCTTTACCACCACACAGACTGTAAATTGATCTTTTTCCTGTAAATGAAGCTCATCTGTAAATCTCCTCTGTGTATCCTGAAGTGAGATTATCTTCAGCATCTGTTGACCATTCACAAATGATGAATAATACTTTTATTTCATTACCACTTTGATCATGTGTCTTGTCATACGTCTAATTCTTAATGTTATTTAAAACTTTCTGTGATATAAATTAGAGGAAATGACCTCTTACCCATATAATTTGCCAATTTAATTTTACATATTACAAAACATCAAGCATAATCAAACAAGGAAAACAACTTTATGTGTTTGCTTTGCCAACTTGCAAACTCAGATCTTCTTTGACTCACTTGAATACCTGTCTTTAAGTCTGTGCATGATTTTCCTTTTTAATTTTAAATGTAAGTACTGTATATAAGTGAATAACTAACATCCTCATGCAGAGTGAAGTTTTAGCACTACTGTCAAAGCAGTTGCTGGCTTTTTACCTCTGGGCTCATTTGTACCAAGAGTTTTTGTGTTTAGTGCTGTGATTGTTTGTTGTTTTCTACTTTAGATTAGTACACTGGGTCTGGTGAGCGCATCTGAAAAAAGTAGTAGCAAATAAACTCTGTGTGACAGCAGGAAATGTTGGTCTCTGCTTTTCTCTGCAGCTTGTAATGAGGTGAAAACAAACTGGATAAACTCCAGGGCAGCAGGAAACCAGCTCTGAACATCTGGGTTTGTTTTGGATCGAGACTCCCTTATCTTTCTACTGTCCATCATCTGTTGTTAAATTCCTCTGTACTCATGATCGGACCACCTGTTTGTCTGTATTTGACTGATAAAACTTCTTCTAAAATTTCTTGTAATTGAACTATTCCATAGATAATAAATATATCTATCTAATTAGGTGCACTACAATGGTGTAAAGCTGCGATACGAAACGATACAATAAGATGCAGTACGGTACGATATGATACAGTATGATATGATATGATGTGAAGCAAAACATTGCAATGTGATGCAATATGATACGAAACAATACAATACAATACAATACGATATGATGTGAAGTAAAACATACGATGCAATACAATGCAATACGATGCAATATGATATGATATGATATGATATGATACGATACGATACGATACTATGTGAAGCGAAACATTGCAATTAACTAAATACTGACAAGTTTTGAATAATGTGCATGTGGATGATTGATAGTAACCCATAGTCAAATTTAACAGTGTTGAATAACACACTACACAGATGAGCATGATGTGACTTGTTGCATTTCTCCATGCTTGCCACTGGTTTTGAAAATGTATTAGCATTTTAATTTTCAACTACACCAACACAATGATGAATAATGTCAACACAGAGACAGTTTAATGCACTTCTTCTTAAATGATTGATGATGCCTGGTAGAGGAACTGGGGGTCACCTTTTGGCCGTGTCATTTCAGTTATGATTGTACTTTGATATGTGAGTATAAATAAACACAATGATAAGTCAAGACTAATTTGAGCACTGTGAGCTTGAATGCATTTTATGGCCCCATTGTGGTGTAAATTGATTAAAGTATCAGATTTGAGTCAGTTTATTTTATAAGCTGTTATCAATAAATTCTGCAAACATCATGTGATCATGCAAACTTCCTCACAACTGTCATATCACGGCCTGTTCCCACATCTGCCTGTCTGCCATCTGCTCTACAGCCACTTCAATAATAGCTTGCAGCTGCAGAGGAAGGAGGGGAAGTGTGAGTGTGTGCAAGTGTGGGTTTGCGTGTATGTGTGTGTGTGGAAGGAGAAACCCAGAGCGGAGAGAGGTGTAGGGAGGGCAGGCAGGCAGGCGGCTAGGGAGGGAGGGAGGGAGGGAGGAAGGAAGGAGGGGGCGGTGAAAGCAGAGCTGTGATGCAGACGGCGAATCACATGAGCAGGGATCTGTTTACAAACTGAACCACAGACGAGAAGTGGAGGACAGAGACAAGGAAGGAGAGAGAGAGAGCGAGAGAGAGAGCGAGAGAGAGCGAAGAAGAGGGTGAGAATGTGAGAAAGAGAAAGGGGAAAGACAAACTCAGGAGAAGAGCGGACACACTGGCACACTGTCTGCCTGTGTTATGTTCCTCCCTGTGTTCTTTGTTCACAGGGATACATGAGACGGGAACATTGAGGCTGCCTCTCTGCAGGTCTGCTCGCTTGTTTGGCTCGTGCTGCCGGGAAACCCATCCATGTCCTTCCCTTTGTCTCTCCATAATTGGCCACGGTGAGATTTCACAGAAAGAGAGGAGGACAGCGTGAAGACGTGGAGATCAAAAGGAGAGGACAGAGGGAGGAGAAGAAAGGAAGACAGTGAGAGAGGGATTTGTGATGTTTTGAAAGGAGACAAACAAACAAAAAAAACACAGACTGTGATCTTCTAGAGGTATATGAATAATTTTTGGATGTGATTTGGAGTAAATCACCCTATTCTGTCAGTGACACTGGTGTATTTTTATCCTCAAGACTCACAGCTTCATCTCCAGGACTGATTTCTTTGTCTGTCAGTGGAGATAACAAAGGGACACTTCTTTCTCTGACACATCAGGGAGTGAAAATTTCAATCCTTGTGGATGTTTGTGACATGCTTTTGGGAGTGAATCATCACAACAGACCGAGGTTTCATTTTTGCGACTGGTTATTTGGGTCATATATCTTCTGGAGGAGTTTGTGAACAGGTCTTTCTTCAGACAATGTGGACTTGACTGACTGCACCTCTTTATCAGCTAACAGGGTGAACCAGTCTGAACATCTGAAGTGGAGAGGAGCAGGCCAAAACTTGTTCTTTTCTAAAACAACAGTTTTTCTGATATCCAAGAGGTCACAACCCCCAAAGATTTTGCGGGTTTGCTGACCAGATATCTCCACATTTGATGCATCCTGTCCAGTGGTGTAGCGGTAAGTGTCTGGAGGTTGTTTACTCCTTTTGTTTGCACTTTGAAATCATATAAGGAGTGATGACAACCACTGGATTGATGTTGATGAGAGATTTGAAGTCGAGTTTTCTTTTTTTGGCTGCTGTCATCCTATCCTTTGAGCTTTAAGTGACAATATCTATATGAGAGGATATGGATAAACACATTGCTACAACTATATCCTGATTGAATGGAAGCACATTTGAAGCATACTTTGCTTTTTTCACTATTTTACGCAATCAGGCTAGATTTTACAAAATTAACATCAGGATGCTTCAAATTAGAGATTGACATCATTGGGGCGATGTTGACTGAGTAATTACACAAAGTTTGAGGTGGGTTCATTCACTCGTAGACTAAGACAGTTTTGTGACCAAGTGCCCCCCTGCTGGCCACCAGAGAGAACACACATTTAAGGCTACTCCTCGCTGGCTTTGCTCCAGCAGTGCCAAAAAAGTGGCCAATGGCATGCCATGCCATATGGTGGTTAAATCAGCCATGAATGCTGGTAGCTCTGTAGTGTGTAGCACGGCCAAGAGGGCCACCAGCTTGGCACCCCACTACTGTTTTTGGTTTGAATAACAACAGAAGAGAGGCAAGGATGAGGCAAAGTTTGACTTTATGGTTAACAAGAGAAACTTTTGCGCTGTTCTGATTATGGCACACCTAACAAGGTTGTTGCTTTGTAAATTATGCCATAAGTTTCTCTTGACAAAGACCATCCTGCTCTCTAACACCAGTCAAATGTATCACTCATGGTGTTTCTTTGCTGTTGATAGTGTAAAAAAAAAGGCTGTATTGGCCTTTAATCACTTGCCCTGACATCTACCCACTTTACCAGCATTAGCACAACTGAAAAACAGCAACACATAAAAAATCCTTTTTCTTGTTGATGTTCTTGTTTGATTGTAAAGTTGCATATTGGTATCAACTTCGCTTTGTTATACAATCGGATAAAAGATAACAACTAAAACTAAATTTAAAAAACTAAATCAAGGACTCAGATAGATAAGGCATAACAAGATTTGTTGCACATTCCATGATAATCCTGCACACCAGTAAAGAAGTCAAAGTAATGTGGCTGTGTCTGGTGGTTGACCTGACTCGCCACTGTAACAGTCATTAGCATGTTTACATCATAACGTACCACCAAACACTAATGCATATCATAAATAAACCTGTCAGTGAATGTCAGAGCCTGATTCACACTTTTGTACTGAACCTGTCACCATAGGCTTATATAGCCCTGTACCTTTGCGAAGGCCTGCACACATCTCCTCTAAAATGTGGCTACCCGTTGAAACAATGCATGTCCTGTGATTTGTTCTTTGGGTAGTGTTATATTTCTTGCATTAACAACATTTCAGAAATCCCTACCTACACTGATTTAGCGGCCTCACATGCCATCTCCTTCATTGTCTTTTGATCTTTGCAAGTATTTCAATATGATCGATATCTCAAAATCCCCATGGTTTCCTGTGCAAAAACAAGTACACTAAGTAGCAGAACTGGAAATTGTCAATATTATTGGCACAGAAATAGGACTGCTACCAAGTGTTAAGGTTTGGTATTACAGAGTCATGCAGATGCTACAATTTTATCACTTCATGCGTCAACAGAATGAAGTGTTCAGTGTAGGTGTTGTTCAGGGTCAGTGCATAAGAATGAACCAGGCTGAACTCATGGCCATATAGAAAGCAACAGGTTATCTATTCAAAGCATTTCCTCTATGCAAAGCTTTCTTTGGAATGGGATTCCATTTTATTTAGTAGCCATTATATTACTGAGGCTCATTATAGTGGCTTTCCTGTTAGCCTCGCCACCTGCTTGACCAAAGTATTTTTGTGGACATAGAATAGAAAGCTTTGTGAACAGTGAACAAACAAATAAGACCAACGATTTAAACAATCATAAGACAACATAATGGAGATCTCAAACAAACATACTTTCAAAACATATGTACTGGCATCACTATGCTGGGTTTAAATTTGCAGTAGGGGCAAAATATGTGAGGTAACATCCAGGCAGAATACCATTAAGGAGTCTGGCAAATGCCACTGGCCCCCATTGGTATGGGGTATGCCAAATACTCCTGATGTACTGCACGTGACAAACCATTGGCCACTTTTCAATCTTTTTTTCACTCTTCAGCTTTTTAAACCCAGCATTTTTCCCTCTTCATATCAAGTTTCAGTCATTAACAGCTGTTTTTTATCGTAGCTGGCTGAAGTGATCCATTCCAAAGTTTAAAAACCTTTGACACATATTCGTCATTTAGATCTCAATATATACATAACCCCGGCTAAGACATATCAGAATTTCCCTGCAAGTTACATCAAACTGTGTGATGTGACTTTTTGATTTCTGTACTAGATAGCTGCAGTTCAAATGCAAAATTTACTCACGAATGAAGTTATACTATCTGTGTATTGCAGAAGATAGGCTGAATGCATGCCAAAATACATCACTTGTTAAATTTTATCTGCAAGTTAAAGACATGACCAAGGAGAACCATTCATTTTGCATGATTTATATAAAGACATAACAACAAATACAGTTTTATAACCTCATTTTAAGACAGTTTTATCAGATGTCTTCCAAACAAAACACATCCAACCAAAGCTTGTGTTTTCTTGGGTACAGTCCTGTCCAGACTGCATACATTTGCCAGCCTTTCAGGTCTCCACTATCAATGATTTACTAACACTGTGCTTAGATTACAGCTGCCTTCTCCTTCACCCAAACCCTACCTTACTCCACTCCACCTTCACTGTAACACTCAAAGACTGCTCTCTCCTGCTGTGACCTCAACCCACTGCAAAGACTGATTTTTGAACCAGGAAGGTAGACACTGAGGTATTAGAGCGAAGAGAACTTCTGCATTTTATGGCTCGTGTTTCATTTTAAGCGCCTCAGGAAGGAAAATACTTCTTTCGATTTAAAGCCCAAACTCCAGTAAATAACAATGTAACTTAGGCCAAGAAGTACTGTAAGTGGAACAAATTCCTGAGTGACGCAGCATTGGTAGTATAAAAGTTCACCTGAAAGTGCTCTCAGACTTGGGAGATTTTGATAGTAAAGAGCAGAAGAAACAAAACCCAAAGTTCATCATTAATAGACTCTTTCTTTGAGTTGGTGCCTAATTACTTTAGATTTATGCCATGAAGATTTGAAATTACAGTATGTGTATTGCAGGTGGAGCTTTTGCACAAAGCCACTTACAAAGAGAGCATTCATACCATGTAGGAACAAGAGCTGGATATGATCCAATGTTTGGAGAGTTTCCCTTGTAGACCAATAACTAAAAGCATGCCCTGTACACTTGGCCTGAATTATTTCATAAGCTGGGACACTCTGTACATACATTATACAAGTTAAAAGTTTATGAAGTCGACTTTTGTTCAAATGCCACAAAAAGACGCCAAAAGTTATTCCACTCGCACACAATCGTTAACCTCCATTGATTATTTTTCTTATTGCACCATCTTTACACTCATGTCTTACCTTTCACCGCTTTTTACCTCCCACAGTGAAAGCAATAATACACTGCAATCTGACACACAAGGCTCCACACATGCAGTGTGGAGCAGCAGCATGTGTGTCAGGTCTTACTCATACACACAAAGGTCCTAAAATCCAGCCCACGGCCTCACTATAGGAGGTGGACCAAGACAAAGTAGAGGACTGCCAGGCAGAGTGATGTATGATGGGATATGTTTGAAAACAACAGTGACTGGAGTCTGAGAACAGAAAATATATGTAACAAACCCACTATGAAAGACTTCAAGGGCCTGACTCTGTTCGACCTTTTGGTTGACTAAGAGTGAAAGCGATGACTATCAACCAGGCTGTCTTTATTTGAAGAGCAGCATGGACAGTTATTGACTTTGTGACCTGAAAAAGCTCTAAACCCAACATTGACTTATTTACTTATCATTGAGTCGTCATAGAGAACCTGTTAGACAGTCGGGCTTGTTTACAAATCCAGAGCACATGAACATAATGAGCTTAAAAAATGAAGACATGCATGCTTAAAACTCCTCAGTCCCTATTTATTAAATAGCCTATGGGTATACTTAGACATCAGGGTGCAGCAGGAAATATTCAGGAAAATTCATGACGAGTGTGAAGGTGTGGTGATGACATTTAGATCATATTGTAACTGCGAGTGACACAACAGAAAGAATGAAAAACATCTTAAGTAGAAGTAGAATCACTGTCAAGACAAAAGCAGCAATCAGTACATTCACGTGCATGAAATGTTGGATAAAGCTTCTGAAACTAAAGTACTTCCTTTCAGCTAGTTACTACTTTGCTGTTTCCAGGCTGACCTGTTTGTCATGTACCAAAACAATCGACAAACACATAAGCAAGAGCTGACAACGTTATACATGGAAAAATGAAAATGCGGATAACCTCACAGATCTGTACTCCTTATACATACAATGCAACGGCTTTATCTTTTTTATGTCACTTCTTTTTCTGTTTGGATTTGTTTACTACTTGGTGTGAACTTCTCGTTCAACGCTCGGTGTGTGAACTCAAACCCTCAAGTCAGTTTAAGACCAATGTAAATGTTAAAGAGGAAATTGACCCCGATCCACAATACCTTAGTATGTCAGTCTGACCATGAGAAGTTAGATAAACCAGTCAGGCGAATGCGTTCACACAGATTTCAAAGGGCAGTTTTATTCAGGACAATTCAATCAGTAGATTTTTTGAACAGCACGATGTCGGCACATCTTTGTTTACAGACACCATTGATATAAATGCAAAAACTGTAATAATGGTGTAGGTCCCGGTCAAATTAACAAATAATGAATTAGTTGATTACCAACATTGAGAAAAAAAATTAGCAAATGTATTGAGATTATTATCCCAACATTGAAGTAAGACCTCTCTACATTTGCTGGTGTTGAGAATGAATCACTGTTGTTGTGGAGATCAATCAGAATCAGGTTTTTCACAGCCAGGTAATAAGAGACAGATGTACAGTAGTTTAATCTCTTGTTTATACAAGGAGTTTTACAGAGCTTTAATCCAACCTGAACCTCATTCTCTGTAACAAGTTGAAGAGCTGATGTAAACTGTCAAACCAGTTTTGTGTATGTAGGTCAGTAGGAGTTGAGTAGGAGTTTGAGTAACAAGTGGCAGAAAGAGTTATTAAGTAGCTCTGTAATCAAATTACTAATATGAATAAGTAATAAATCACATGGCAGCATGTCTTGAAACATTTAATGGATTCACATTCTTTACAAACTATGTTTTAAACAACATTAACCCACTTAATGTGGAGCCTCGTCCATTTTTCTTTGTGACCTCCTCTGAGTTTCCAAATGTCACATGATGTAAACCACATTCCTGACATTACAGTCAACTGACTGCAGCTTTGTCCGCTGAAACCATGCACGTAAAGAAAATGGAAATACTCACATTTATACGATCATTTGCAAACATGAGTGTGCGTTTGCATTAGGATCAATATTTATCTCCATGAGAGCATTGTTCTTTGTGTGAGGACAAAGATGATGAAAAACATGTCTGGTTCAGGCATCAATAACTCAGTTTAATGAAAATATCATGTGCTGAAATGATGCAATGTAAAGAGAAGCTGTTTTTATTGTCTTGGTGTTATGAGAAGCTGTTTTTCTTGTCTTAATGATTATTGTTTGCAGCAGTGGTGTATTCAGGCTGTTAGAGGCGCTGGGGGCACCATCTGTATGCCATGACGCACTGGTGCTCGTATGTTATGAAGAACAACATTTTGAGCATCAAACACTTAATTTCCTGCATCCTGGTGAAGAATTGTGCAACAATTTGTGGACGAAGTTCAATATTGAAATAGGAAAACACCAAAATCACACACATTGTGAACACACGATACTTCCTGTATACAGCTCACATTTTTCTCAGGCTCACTTGAACAACTTTCGGCTACTTACTGCGGATGGATTCAACATGACGTGTGATCTGCTCCTCTCTGGTGCTGCTGTTGTTATGCTATTGTTAACAGTTGTCTAACTATTAGTATAGTTTTTATATTATAATATATAAAAAGATTATATATTGATTACCATTGTATAACAGTTATCCAACTGTTAGGCCAATCAGGATCAAGTATTTACTGCAGCCAAGTGATTAGTAAGAAGGCCGACGTTGAAGAAATGATATGGATTCAACTGACCATTTCCATACTCGAAAACAGAAAGACTTTGTAGAGTAACGTACAAACATTCACAAACCCTCAAAAAACAACCTAAAAATATTCCCTGATAGAAGAATTGATGGAGTGCCTCCTGTTTTGTTTTATATACGATGAAAACACCCAGAGAGCAATTTCTTTACATTTTAAACTCCATAGTTGCATTTGTTTAGAATTAATACACCTTTAGATCGAGCAGAGGGTACTTTTTTTACATCTTATACACCAAAAGAACAAACAGTGAGCACCTCTTTTATAATTCCTGCACAGGAAAAGCATCGCTGGGGCACTTTGTTTACAATATTTTCACTGGAAGAGCATCCAGAAGGCACTTTGTTTACATGCTTCCCATTGCATGGGCAAGAGCTGGTGTATTATTTTTTTATGTTCTCTCATCGGAAAGGCATCAAAGAGGGCACTTTTGCAGCATTTTTAAGAGCACAGGGGGGAGAGGGGGCGCTCCTCTTTCCCTTCTGCTTTTGTATTGTGTGGCAAGTTTGGATTGAATTTTTATCTTCAGCCTTTGATAAGTGTGCAGCCTTTTACTAGTATAAATGCATATACGTATATAGACAGGTCTAAGTGCATTTTGTTAGCACATTGTTCAAAGAGCTCTTTATGCTTCCAAGAGCACAAATTTGAAGATATTTACATCTTCTCGTTTCTCTGTAATCATTAGATTTCAGGTGCTATGGATGCATATTTTCTTCCTCTAAATTTAATCATGTGTTTTCGCTGCATTAATGCAATTTCTTTTACCTCTGTGTGACCCTTGTTCCCGTTTCTCATCTTCTCAGGGTGTCTGTGTGATCTTGGATTTCAGAACGTCGACCCATACTGCAAGATGTCATCTGAAGAGCTCTTCCACCTCCCGCTCAATGTCTACATCATCGTCCTGGGCATCGGACTCTTCATCCTCATGCTCAGCCTCATCTTCTGCTGCTACCTGTTCAGGTACAACAATGAAGCTGTATCAGAGCTCTTTATGCAGCAGACTGTTTGAGCCTGAAGCATAAAATCGTTCAGTCAGATTCACTGAATTATTTTACTTTATCTCCTGAGTCTGTCAAAAGGTCAGCCTCATGCTTGCCCAGAAGTTCCTGCTTTGAATCTCTAAAAGTTAACTCTTGAATATTTATTTTTCTTTCCTTTTGTCTCGTCCTCCTTAACTTAAGCTTCTTAGCTGGTTCGAGCTGTAGAGAAAGAGAGCAGGAGCTCTGTGCAGTTGCTGTTATTGAATACAATGTCCGAAATACCGTAACTGGTATCAATACTTAAAGCTCAGTTTAAATATGATTGACCTTAAATTTTGGAGTAAACCTTTCCAGCACAAAAACATATAGATTTTTATCTGTCAAAATCATACAACCAATTCACTAACTACTGTGAAATGCACAGCTAAGTGAAACTAGCAGTAATATCCTGTTATTACTTTTTACTATAGCTAAAAACTTAAAGGGTTAATTCAGAATTCTTAAAACGGCATATTATTACTCACATATTTTCAGGCCTCTTGCTGCAGGGTGATTCTTGGGGCAAACACACCTATTTGTACTCAAAGTGAACAGACTGAAAATCCTCTTTTCTTTTCTACTGAGCACAAACAGCAGCTTTAATTCTCACTCAAAAGCAAACAGAAGAAAATCCTGGTTTGGAAAAAAAAGGAGACCATGTTTACTGAGGCAAAAATAAACACTTAGTATTTTTTTTTTTGTCCTGCGGTGAGTCTGTTGAAATTGTTTGGTGTCATTTTGTTTGGTTTTGTCACAATCAGCCATTTGAAACTACAGCCAACTGAAGATACACCGACTTCATAATAATTCTATCATTTTTTTAATGGTTGTGGATAATGGATAACTTCCAAACTCTCTACGGATTTGACTCTTACATCAAACTAAACTGATATATTCATGTAATCTGTCAATGCAAGGACCCTTTATTATTATACTATAACATGGAAACATCTGGTGCATTGTCTGCCATTTGACAAATCTCCAAGGTTCAAGTGAAGTCTGCTGTAAGCTCATACACACAGGTTGTAATTATGTCAGCGTCTGCAGCAAACCTGCAGGATTTCTGGAAAAACCTGCTCCTGTGTGCACCTTAGCGGAGCATATATTCAGCTGCAAAAGATACAACTGGAAACAGTGGACACAGGTGGATATATGCATGAATATGTCTTGAACATCGGTAATTGGCCCTTAAGAGTTAGTCTTACTTTAATGAGCCACCAAAGGTTATCTTAATATCAATTTTTATTAAGTGCATGTTTTGTTTTACTCAAATTTGTACAATTTTAAGACTGCGGTCCATGGTGAACGAGCACTTATGCATTCTTCACGAAATAAACCAACGATCTAAAAGGCAAAACAAACTATACAAGCAAACAAAAAAACCCCGTCAAAGGCGGTCATAGAGCAGGATACAAATGTAGAGATCTATCTGTGGAGACCAAGTCTAAAGAGAGCAAAATGATCCCTGGATTTAAGTATAGGGTGTTTTTTAGTCAGTCTTCATTTTCCTAACTGCTCCATGCTTTTGAGCTCCTTTACTTCAAGAGGTTTTTCTTTCTGAATCACACTATTCTATTTTATGAAATCTAAGGGATTAGTTCTTACCACCCTTTTATAATGTGCTTTAAGGCTACATAATATCCTGCATAACTTTGCTCTCCTCCAGTGTCAAACAATGAATGAAATAGATGCAACTGCTTGTTTTGGCATGTTTGTTCTTTGGGACAGCCATCCAGTAAAGACCACTCAGCCTTCCTCTGAACCGACCAAACCTCTTAAAGCATCAGTTATCTTAAAACTTGGTTTTTCTGATCAGACTACACCCCCATGATCTGTGTGAGGAAATATCCTCTCAGTCATCAGAGATCTCAGACAATGGCACGTTCGACAGAGTGTTTCAGCTCGTCTCGTGCTGAGCGTACTTTCACAGGCTCTTACTTGACTCTGGCATTGTGTGGATTCCTGGGCTGTTTGAATCTCAGCTGATTCATGCAGCATGACAGGACCTGTCCCAAACAAGACAGATATGGAGCCACCGAGCTGGCAGTACAAATTTTATAACATAAATCACAGCAGCATGATTAGTTTGCTTTTTTTTTGTGCTTTCAGACTGAGGCGACAAGGCACCAGAGAGCAGTACGGATACAATGAGGTAATGTGTACATTTTAAATTACAGTGTCTTTTTATCCAGACTGAGTTCATCTATTTTTTTGACGCACATTAAGACAAGCTTTTTCTCATCAACAGGTTGTTTTGAAAGGAGCGGGGAAGAAGCTGAGCCTCCTTGGAGTAAGTTGAACAGTTAAATGTGAAAAGATGAGCTATGATGGTCGAGGGTTACTGCAATCAATCAATCAATCAATCAATCAATCAGTAACGCTTTATTTGTATAGCACCTTTCATGTAGACAAAATGTAGTTCAAAGACCTTTACAGTGATCGAAAACATGAAAAAAAGGTGAGAAAACACAGAGTATATAAACATAGTCATAGGTTTACAGGAAGAGACTAATGCACACCAACAGCAATAAAACAGAAGTAAAACAATAATAAAGTTGAAATAAAAAGAAGTTTAAAATAGATAAAAGCATTAAGATAGTGTTAAAAGTAAGTAGTAATAAAATGAGGATAGTTAAATATAAATAAATACTAAAACAACATCAGTAGTTCTCTGATTCACGGCTTTTCTGCACATATTTTTGCACAAGTTCAGCAAATAACGAACAATGACTCAAACATGACCGACAGACATTCATTTTACTGAGTGCCAAAACAAAAATACATGACATATTTATCGGTAAGAAGAACATAAAAATTTGAGTATACTCCATCTATCTATGTGCTAAACAGATGGCAGGTCAAAGGTCACTCAGCTTATGATCTAAATTGACATAGTCTTTGAGGTGGTCTCAGGGAGGTTAAGCAGGTACCTTATTGGAAATGCAGAATTAAGCTGATTTTTAGCAAACCTTCTGAGAGCGACAGAGGTGCTGGGTTGGGCCTTCAGCTTCAAACAGCGACAGTATGCCCATCTGTCAGTCAGTCAGCCATGTCCCCATGCAAATACATGTTTAACTTCTAGGTTTTACCTTTGAGGAATAGTTGTGTTTGAAAAAATCAATGCCTGTGTAGTAGCAACAAAAGAGATAAACAGTCTAAAACTTTATCTTTTAACCATAATTCTCATTTCTGCTGTAAAAATGGGCGTCTTGCCATAGAGGCAAATAAAGGGGGGTTTATTAGCCAGCCTCCATTAAACACTTGTTGTTTTTTTTTACCTCTGCATTGGAGCCATTTTTTTAGCACCAGAAGCTGCAGCTTGGTTCATATTGATGAATTAATTAAATATTCACATCTTACTCTGACTGTACTCCAAAATCATCACAAGAATACAACAGAAAGTAAAAGTTAACAACAGGCATTGTTTTTCTTTTCTTCACATCAGTCAGCATTAATCTCAGATGGACTTACTAGAATTTAAGGGTTATTGCTTTCCTTTAACTAGACTAACAGCCAAAGCAGGATATTCCATAGACTTATAGAAACTGACTGAACAGTGATTTTGACTTTTGTTTCGGTCTTGTGGTTAAATTTCAAAAGTCTGCTGACTGAAAATCGTTAAAGTCACTGGCCTGTGTTTCCTTCTTTTCAGCAAACGTGTGCAGTGTGTTTAGAAGAGTTTCGCAGCAGGGACGAGCTCGGAGTTTGTCCATGTTCACACGCTTTTCACAAAAAGTAAGTTTTACTGCATGGATTGATTATCATCTATCTGCTGTCTGTGCATCTCAATTGAATGGAAAGATTTTTCGATGTGATTTTGGTCTCTGCAGGTCCTTTTGAAAAATGAAGTGTAAAACGTTTTAACATAGTGACCTTTTTCTTTTTTCACTCAATGTTTAAGGAGCCTATTAAACAGCTCTTTAAAATGACTAAAAATAAATAAATGAATAATGAAGTGTGCCAATCAGGCTTAGTCTGAGCCATAATCTACACCATACTCACCTGAAAAACTTTGAAAAATGCAGTAGTTCAAGATATTAAGCAAGCCTATCTTCTTATTCCCTCCAGCGTAGTGCTTTTTGGCCACACCCCCTGAATTTTCAAAATAAAAGTTCTTGTGCATCGATTGTTGTTGAATTAAACAGTTACCGCAATCATGCTAATGAATCAAAACAAGATTTCTTTAAACTGGATAAGTCAGTTTGCTGCGATCCGTTTTAAAATGTTTAAACTCCTTTCTAGCTGTATATTTAATTTGTAGAAGTCGGTGTAGTTTTCTTGTGGTTTACACCTTTTTTGTGCATAAGGCCTGGTGAATGGGAAAGTCAAAATTAGCCGCTGATGTAGTTTGAAATAGAAGAAGCCCTAATCGGTAACACTAACATCTGAAAATCTACAAATTTTCTAGTTTTTAAATGGATTGCAGAAAACTTGCTCACCAAAACGCCTGTGACTCCATCTTTAAAATATTTTGTGAATTTGTACGTTTGACCCTGTGAACTTACTTTTGCAACACCCAGGTATGAGACGAGCGGACATGAGATGGGAGGCTCCAAGGCTTCAGCTGTACCCAACTCAAAATAAGACCTGAACTGCTTGTAATGAGTAAAAAGAGATAAATAAAAAGCCTTGAAAAGTTTTTTTTCTTATTTGATTAGCAGATTCTTTATAATTATGACAAGCCACTCAGGTTCTATAATTAGTTTATTATATTTTACAAGAAATAAGACGACAAACTCACTAAGATTCAAGGTTCTTGCAGAGACTTTTTGATATGGCATCTGTGTTATCACAGCCTTTCTGTACTTGCCATCTTCAGACATTACACCCTGTGGCTGACTGCAGTTGTTTGATGTCTTTGATAACAACTCCTTCAACAGAAAGATCTTGTCAGAGCTCTGCCTTGCTCGTTCCTGAACTTGTCCCACTGTCATGCAACTTTGCTGCAGTGACCCTGTCTCCTCATCCTTCATTTCCCTGGCATGCAATGGCTGAATTTTGTCATGCAGATTAGCACTAACACCACAAACACAGATAAACCCTGAAAATTTGACAATCCCACTTTTTTGGCATTATTTCAAGACAAAACCCTGTCCAATATCCAGGTCAGTACTTGTATTAAACTCGTAAAGGTTGCACAAGATTGAACATTTGACTTATTTGCAAAAACACCCCACTGTTTCTACAAGTTAAAGTCAAATGAAAAGCCATTTGTCAGCTGTTTTTATAAATTTGTTTTCATGCAATCAAGCTGATTTTATTGATTCATGTTTTAATGTTTAAGAACAGCCTGAGTGTCTGCAGCTCCGTGGTTAGTGGCTCCAAACACCTCCCTCCAAAAGCCACAAGAACATAATCCTGGCCTTGATGTCTTCATATTTCGACTTCTCCATGAGCCAAAATGTTGACTAACCAGCCCAGAGGAATGAGTCATAAATTCCTCCTCGTGATTGATTCCTGCCTCTGAGTTCACAGCTGGAGCAAACAGAGAAAAAGTGAATTTTAGAGAAGTTGAGCAACTTTTTTGCTGAGAAGGATGAGTAAATTCCTGATGACATATATGTCTTTGCATGTGTGAACATGAGAATGCTTTCAGCAGCTGAGACCTGGTTTACCCTGCAGCGAAGGTGTGATATTAACAACAAAGCTTTTGGACCGGTTTGTCTTCCTCACTCTCTCTGTTGGAGCTTCTGTATCCTGATTCCTGAAGTTTCAGCAGAGACCCGCTTGCATAAGTGAGTTTACAGTGTCCTACTTCCAAATGATAAAACAACTCATTTGTCTCTGTGTTTTTTTTCCCCCTAGGTGTCTGCTTAAGTGGTTAGAGATCCGCAGCGTCTGCCCCATGTGCAACAAACCCATATGTCGCCTCCAGCCTGACCCCCCACAAGCACCTGAGCGGCCACAGAGTCTCCTGGAGGTCTGAGAGGGGGGACACATGTCCAGCAGCACCTCAGGCTGTTTCCAGACAGTTGACACCTGTCTCCATGGAGACTCCTGTTTCACTACCCCAACAACAGATTGTAGTTTTGGCACTGCAAACATTTTTATCAGGCAAAGATGCTCTGCAAGTACGATTAAAAATGGCCAGGTTGAATCATGGCTGCAGAAACACAGGGAAACATGATCTGGGATTTTAGCAGAACTCATCGACTGTAAGTAAATATGGACAGCGGTTTACACCTCCTAGTGTTGGACAAAAGTGAAGCCAAAATTTCCCAGCATCACAAGCCCTGACTTCTTCAGCAGCTTAAGTGGAGCTTAAGTAGGGATCGGCTCTCAGGGCAGCAGTTAAAACATCCCACCCCTTTCACTAACTATAACACAGCTGGTTATTGAAAAGTTCACTGACTCTCCTGATACTGTCCTTCAGATTTTCTCTCACTATTCTTTCTCTGCTTTCACAGTAGAGCTTTCAAACATGGTGTAATGCCCCTTTTTTGCATAAATAAATACCTATTTAAAAGTAAACCTCTGTAAGAGAGTTGGACACTCAGACATGAATTAGCCTGATGAGAAATTATATCATTGACTAAAGCTGTGTGCTGGTTTTGTAGTTGACCAATCCTCCATCTGTTAATATGGAAGAGGCAGAGGTCATGACCTTTACCTTTATAGGTCAGAGGAAGGAGATCTACATATTTTGGCTTCACTTTTGATGAGCTTTTCTTGCAGTCTATGGTGATAACTCATCTTCAGTCCTCCAAAAGTACTTGATAACAGATTAATGCCAATACTCAATCTAGTTTTTGGCATTTTGTGGTGTGGAAAAGAAAAGTAGGCCAAAACCAGAACTGCCTCAGATGCATGCAGAGATGTACAAAGCAACTATGAATACTGCTCTATCCTGAGCTCAGCAAACATACAGGTAGCTGGCAGGGTGGTTGTAGAAAAAGCTTCACATTGCACATTGCTGAATACAAAGTTTTTGTGCAGGAAAATAGTGAAACTTTTTCCCTCTTATCTACCAGTGCAGCTTATATTCCAGATTTTCTGCACATTATCTCTTTAATGAAGAGGCATTTTTAATGTTTTGTTGTTTGACACTTTCAGTAACAATTTGAGTGTGGTCTTCAAACTAAAACATGTCTACTTTTTTGAAGAGTCAAACACATCCCTCATTGAGATTTTTTACAAAAAAACTTTAGACAGGAAAAATGCTTTCTTCAGGGTGCGGCTAATACTCAGTCATTGTGCTGATGTTCTTGTTACTTTTTGTAGTTTGCATGAAGACATTGGTAAACATTTCAGTCCACTAAAAACTCATCACAGAAGTTTTAAGGCTGGAGATATACCTGCTTTTTATAGCATATACACTTGCACATGATGGCTGTCACACATTCCTAGCATCTGACGGGATGCAGTTTGCAGAATGCACATGAATGGTAGGAGTGGTGTAGAGGCAGAGGGGTGTGACAGTCAAAAAGCAGAAAGTTTTAAAGATGAGCTGATGAACCAAAGCTGCAGTTATCCACATCTGTATGATGTATGCACAGTGACTAACATGCCTCTCCAAAAAGCTGGCTGTAATTACATTTACTTCCTGAATTTGACATGGAAACATGCAAAACTGAGTGGAAGTCCAGAACTGTTGAGTTCAGGCACAGGAGAGTATGCTGGGAAAATAGAATGAAGGTGTGCTCCATCCGTAAGTCTTTTGTTGCCTGAGCTAATTAACTTTACAGTAACCTCTGTGACTCCTGCCATGTTTACATCCTCCAAATCTAGAAGTTGCACATGGCCTGAGCTCCCTTTGAGTATCCTCTGTCAGCATGTGCAGTACATGGTAAAATACAGTATGTGCGCAATTATGCTCATGATGCAGCCAGATGTGCATGTGTACGAAAGACTAAATAGCAAGTTTATCTACGGCCTGAGTTGATGTACAGATTCTAGTTTGTGTAGCTGAGGTGCTCAGCTGAAGAAACAGCTGACACCTATCCTCAATGAAAACATCAGCAAATAAAACTCCTCAATCTCGTTGAAAAGGCATCAATATGAACTTCGGTCTAACTTCTCATAGGAGCCTTAAATGATTTTAATTAGAGGCTGAAGGGACTTGGTTTGCTTGAGCTATAAATGGGTCAAAGTTAAAGGGCTTGATCTCAGTCCTATGAATGACACCACAAAGGCTAATTTAACATTTCGCTCCAGTCTGACATGCCTGCAAAAATGCTTCTGTAGCCTTTTTAAATGGTTCTCAGTTTAATAAACTCCCAACCCTGAAGGGAAATGTGGTCAAATTCACCCACTGAATAACTTTATTGTCCACTGTGAAGAAACTGTGAGGGAGATAAAAGTTATGACTTAGTTCCCTCATGTCAAATTTAAGACATGGTTTGTTTAAATAGCAGCATTGATAACAGATCTTAGCTTGTTGGAAAATGTTCAGATATGAAGCTGATAACTTCTTGCCCTGATGTTAAGGATATTTTTGCAGAGAGTTGAAGCTGTGACCAAAGTTGAAAGATTGTTTCTGCCTCTAGAGCAGCTCTGCCTCAGAAAAATGTTTGCATGACAAACTACAGTCTGGCATTTCACAGTTTGTCCTGGATTGAGAGACAGAAAAAAAAGACACATAAAAAAGGATTGTTTCTTTCTCTACAACTTCAGAGCCCGAGGCTTGGAAATAGGAAGATTCATCCACCAGATACCAGCTCTGGAGTTACCAGGTCATCCTTTTGCTCTTTATTGCCCCAGATTTGATTGCAAACGCAGACACAGGAAGATGTGCAGCTGTGGAAACAGACTTTTAACAAATCAGGACGACTGTAAACTAACAAGATTGATCAGTGTGTATTTTGGTTGTAATCTTCCATAGTTTCACAGTCAATCAGCTCCACCCTGGTGTGTTTTTCCAAGCTTTGTGAAGCCCCAAACGGGAATACAGATGAGTCATATGGGATCTGATATTAAACAACTACAGGCTGAAACATGCCTGCTGTGCAACAACCATAGACTGTATATAAGACGTGGATAAAGCTACGTGATGAAGCCTCAAGTTTGGAATTTGGCAAATCTTATCTTTTCCTTTTTGAGTTGCAAGTGACCACGTTTAGATAAGAGTTAAGTAGGGAGCTGGAGAAAAATTAAAAGTTACCAAAGTGCATACATTTACAATAAAAAAAAAGATGATTATCAGAAAAAAAGAAGGAAAGATGATATCATAAATGTACTGATGGGAAAAAAACTGAAGCACCTGACTTGGCAGAGTGTCTTTCAGTTGATCCAACCCTAAATAAGATTTTTTTTCAGATCCCCATGATTCGATTTCTCAAACACAGGGGTAACCATGCCCCTAAGCAGAAAGCAAGTTTTGTATTTAAAGGGATAAATAAGTTATTTCTTAAGTTGGGGCTGTCGCAATATGCCAGTGTAGATAATAAATGTTGTTTTTTTAAAAATCAATGTATTTACATTGTGCCAAAAATAAGCGTACAGTACTGTGGGTTCATGGCTGTGGTCCTCACTCTAGTTTCCACATAACAAAGAAGTACAGACTGCCAGAGAGCTAACTGAAGCCTTTTAAGAGATGATTCAGCACTTTAAAAAAAATGACGTTCCAAGATTTATCGTGACTCCAAAAACAAAAGTGAAGCTTGTGTCTTTCTGGGCTGATAACCAACTGAACATTTAACCTCCTGGCTACTTTTTAACTGTTTTTATCCAATTTTGTAACTCACAAACAGAAATACAATAAAAAACCTAATTCAAATATGCAGGAAATAAAGCAGCCTAAACACAAGACAGAAAATATCAAAATAAAAGCAAGACAAACAATCATTATATGAGGAGACATGTTCTCCGAAGAAATTTGGGTTAGAGGGCTATTGATGAGGATAAATCACAAATTTATGTTTAAAATCGACCATATGAGGTTAATGAAGTAAAATGTTGCTCCACTCTTGTCTTGCCTTTCCTTAGTTTAATTAATTATTGTTTTATCTTCAGGTTTTTCATAAACATCCTGATAATATAGATATCACGACACTTTATGACCTTGATAGTCTGATATCGTGACAGCCCTATCTTAAGAAGTTATGTTTGCAGTACTCGTCAATAGTAAGTGTATTGCTTCGCCAGGATGTCCATCAGTTCAGCCACTTTGTTGAGAAACTTGCCAAAGAACTGACATGGATGCAAAGCTATCAGCTAACGCAGATGGTGTCAAGTCCACCATGTAATTTCGCACATTTTAGATATTAGACAAAAACACTTACGTCAGTCTAATTAACAGAGGACCAGCCTTTTTTTGCAGGTAACACATTTAATATTGACAAGTACCTCACATATTATCCTTATTATCCCTTTAAAGTACAGCATGTAGAAATGGGAATATTTAGCGACATCTATCAGTCAGTTTCCCATGGGTTACGCAAATGTGACCTTTGGGGACAACAAACTCCTCTGATGCACAATAAATATGATACTTAGTTTGTCAAGTTTTTGCCATCAAAATCGTACATCAATACAAATCATTTCTTCACACAACCTCTCTCTTCTTCCTCTTCTTCTTTTAGCGGGTGCACTGCTCTTTAAAATACTAATAGTACAAAAACAAAATATGTAATAAATCAAGGAGAAGGCTGCTCATTTTCCAACCTGCTAACTTTTTTATGCAGTTGGTGGAGTCGCTCCCCTGCTGGTCATTGTTAAAGAGAAAGCAGGTTCAATGCACTTGAACAGACTTCATTTTATTAAACTATACCCACTATTTATCTACAGTCTATGGCCACATTTGATCAAATCAGCTACTCAAATATTAAATATGTGGGTTTTTGTTATTCCAAGTGACCTGTATTGTCTCATACCTGGCTGTCAGTGGAAGGTGTCGTGTATCAGTGATGGTAAAACACTATGACTGTCATTTGTCAAATACTCAGATGTTATCTTTTCCTGTGGGACAGAGCTGAACGGACAGAAATC